GACCTTACCCTTAAATTACCCCCAAAAAACTACACACGGCTTTCTGTTGATCTAACTAAGGAACACATGCAACTAAAATATCAAAGGAAAATTCATTTTCTTGTTGAAAATAATGGCAAATTTGAAGTGTATATAATACAGATATTCAATTCTTTCTAATGTTGTCAATAGCGTTACCATGACAACTGATATCCAATCAATAAATATGACTTACAAACTAGCGTTTTATATAGTCCAGTAGCCATTTTCAAGTATTTGGGGTTAATCGTGGCTTACTGTTTGCAAATAGCGTAACTGAGCACGCGCACCAATAAATTTAAGCTAAAAAATAATACAAACAAAATGTTACCTATTAACCTAAGGTGTTTTCTTTTTCCACTTAATTCAACCTTGGGACCTTTCCGTGCTTAAACACAACGTTTAGCAACTAAATTTCCGCAATTATATTTTTATTAGTGAAATATACTTCTTCTAATATAGGAGCACAGACAAGCATGGGATTAGACTTCACGGCTTTTATATTTGTGGGCGGTGGTTCGTGACCCGGACGGAATTATTATATTTCTTCCACCCATTTCACAGATTTCCAGACGAAGTGTATCATGTTTCAGAAAAATTATAAATTGGAAAAATAGAAACACGTTGGAACAGGCGGAGATCGAACACACGACCTGTTGGTTATTAGCCATACATGACTACCATTAGACCAACGAGCCTCTCACTACATCTACGCTTGTTATTTGTTTTTTCAAATCTACAAAATGCAGTGATGTGTGAATCCTCGATTCGATTCAGTCTGTGGATTTCCGAATGTACGAAGCCATAAAGGTCGACAGACTGTGCTTTTCTTTAAATAATACAATTTATAGCGGAATTAATTATTAATAATGTATATAGAGATTCGGTTCATGAAAATATTAAATCTTTATCCTTGTACTGAATATATTTTTAATTAAACAATCTCTAAAGAAGTGCCTTGAGCTAGCTGCTAAGTGTAACAATTAGGAATACTATTCAAACAGCTTAGCGTCTTGCTGGCTCTAACTAGAACCATTTTCTTCATCTGGGTTAGGTTAATATTAACAATATTATCATACTAGTGCATAAGATTATAAGATTTCAAGACACGACAGAATGTTTTAATTATTGGTAGTTTCGAATACTTATTAATTATAAATAAAGCACAATTAGTTATACAAATACTGTCTGTAGTGTACGAGAGTATAAAAAACACTTTAACGATTTAAAACGCGGAACGCGGTCTCCACTTGACCACGGCTGCTCCAAGGTATCCGAAGTTAAAATATTTTTTAAATAAGTTTAACTAATATATTTCGCGTTTTAAATCGTTAAAGTGTTTTAATTAAATTAATTAAGCAGTTAAGCTACAGACTAAGGCCCATGGAATCCGGGTCCTAGCTGTGGGAACTGTAAAAGGGTGATGATAACATCGCGAGGCACATCTAGTATGTAGGAATTGATAAAATATGATCACGCAACTCAATCCGCGCATACGAGCTAGCGTGCATAGAGCACTGCGCACACGCCGTGTCGGCTGTGCTTGGCCGGTCAAGCGCGAACAGTTTTTTTCTACATAAACATTGTTCGCAGTAGAGAAATCGACGGGCGTAACTGGCCATTGTGTGCCGTTTAAATGCCGAGAATATTAGAGCGTGATGCAGTTAAATAATGGAGTTTATTGTGAATAATTCACAATACATCGTATAAAGGATAAATCTCGTATACCCAAATCTATACTAATATCATAGAGGTGAAGAGTTTGTTTGTTTTGAACGCGCTAATCTTAGGAACTAGTGGTTCGAATAGAAAAAATATTTCTGTGTTAGGGCACTTATCGAGGAGGGGTTTGAGCTCATTAGGCTGCGACCAATAGGAGTAAAGAAACAGTGGGAAATGTGGAACAAACGGGGAAAATTATTCAATATCATATTCATTGCGTGCGCTGCGAAAACGGTTTACCGACAAAAAATATCTTCTTTTAATGACTTAAAAAAATCTTTAAACATTAACTTGCAAGAACGACGGGGCGCGACGTCGTGGGGTAACAGCTTTATATTAAATTTATAAGGATGCGGGGAGATTAGCCGCCATAAATTTTGACGGCCAACATAGTTATTGTACGAGGAAGTCGCTGATAAAGCTTTGGGAATATCTTTTTTTTCAACAGAAAACGCCATGTAATTGTGTTGACCAGATTTTTTATAATATTTGGTTTATGTTAATTTAGGAGTAGTATGTAGGCTATTTTTTATACCTTTATGTGGTAAAGGAACTTGTCTTCTTTAATTGCGTCACGGGTATCAAGTTACATGCACACGGACAATTTAGAACATAAGAAAATGTAAAACAAACAACTACTTTTTTATACACAAGACATGCCTAACTTGAAAATAATAGGTTTCCTGAAGAAGTTAGAGAAATGAAATAATTATAATTGTACGCCATTTAAAAAACCCTTTGCTCACTATCGCTTTATCTGTATTGTTTCCGCTCCATTACAAGCCAGGAAAACTACGCGTATTTAAGGTGCAGTTATTCAAATTACATCTATCTATGCGCATACGCAATCAACCCGCATATTTTTTGTTCATTATCGATCATTATGGTGTACGCATAACAATGCTTTTTTCGGTAGACTTTACTTCGTAAAATGTATTTTGTTGGGTTCGATAACTTACACATGAATCTTGTTTATTTAAAGAATTACTCGTACTTATAGAGTATTTTTACTTTTTTAACTTGGCAAAAGACCACAACAAATATGGCCCATTTCATTTATAGAGTAAAGTTATCGCCACACATTAAACAGTTATAAAGAAACATTGTTTAGGTATATATGGACCAAACCACCTAAATATTCATAATTACTTTTATGATAACCTATCTTTTTAGATGTTATTATTATCGAATTCGACGTTTACAACGCTTTTTAGAGATCTTGCATTAGTCTTGTACCTTTTACTCTTGATAACTTTGCTTGCATCCCATCCCTATGTAAATGTTACTAAGTGAATTTGTGGTAGTCACATTAGTTTAATATATAATCATTTTTAGTAGTTTTAATATATTATATTATGTGTTGGTTTACTAAAAATGCCAAGTTAGAAAAAATACACTATATTACATAATATATGTTGCAACTTTTACAATATTTTTATAATTTTCTATAAGCTATAATCGCTCAGTTGTACTTACTAAATAAAGTTTGTTCTGTTGGTAATAAAAGAAGTTATTTTTTCCCATGCCGGTTTTGATAAAAATAGAGTACCTACTGTCGCTTTAGTAAATGCCGGATGTTACGGACGGGTACCTACAAAAATCACGTTGACATTTGAAGCTCAGTTAGTTTTATTCATCGCTGCTAAGCTGCTCTTAAAGTACCTACTAGACACTAGGCTTTCCAAATTTTATGTCATGAATTTGTTGAGACAGAGCACAAGAATAAAACCAAACGACAAGTACTATGCTTGTGTAATATATTGTGTTAAATAAAATTGGGTTTATATTAATAATAACTCATTAGGTATTGAGGGCACAATTTCTTCGTTAATTCGTTCGAGAGGAACACGATTTTATAGCCGCTATAAAGATTCAGCAATTCCTAAAATTCACTTATAAATGTACAATACCTCTACAAGATATGTTTATAGTCTGGTTTGTGATTTTGGCCTATCTTACAAAACAAAGCTTAGCTTTATAATAGAATTACCATCACCAGAAGATCACATCGCGTATATAAAACAAACTTTTTTTAATTAGTGGTATGCCAATATTTATCTCAACTGACACGACTGCAACTCGTGTAAAGCAGCCGAAACGGCAGATCGTAGTTAAAATAAATTAACAAAAATACGTCGCGTTTAGTCGCGGAACCTACAGGCAATACTTAAAAGTGATTTTAGCAATATATATGTATGAAAACATTAATATTTTTCACATGTTATTGCACATGAAGGCACTCTATAATTTAAAAATCGAAAATAAATTGAAAAAAATCTTCGACTCGGGCAGGACTTGAACCGGCATCGTCAGCTTTCCGTGCTGTTTCTCTACCAATTGAACTACCGAGTCCTGCCCGAATATATATGTAAGTTTAATCGTTTAAAACACGAATTATTTTTGTTAACTTATTAGCTTTAATTTAGTAGATATAAGTTAAGACTTAAATTCAAAGCTTAATTTTATACTGGCTTTATAGAAATTATTACTGTTTATTGCCATGACACATTTTTAGTCTTCTAGGAAGCACCATTAAAATATGGATACAATTAAAACCATAATGGAACAGCGATGTGAGGTGCATTCTACGAATCACATTGTAATAGCAGAATTGCATGATGTTGAATAAACACACGCAAGTGTGCCACTTGAGTACCTATCGATCGCTTCTTTTTAAAATAAAAATGGGTACGGTTATTTTAATTTAGATATATTGCTTACTTCCATCATCCAGTAAAAAATTAAGTGCAGAAACTTAATCCAATACAGTCAATTAAGACGATTGTCTTGACAGTTATCGCTTTGTAAACCGCTATAATCTTGACGTAGTCTATCATTACTTAATTTTAGTCCTACTTCTCCTAAAAAAAGAGATTTCCGTCAGAGTAGGGCTTAGCCTATCTGGGTAACCGTTGTTTTTTTTTTTTCAATTTTTTATACGTGCCCAAATTGTCGAATAAAAAAAAGTGATGTGTGTGTATTACAATACGTGTCGTGGATTCGATCTCCGCCTTGTCCATTAATCAGATAAAATTTGATTAGGCACGCCAAGATTGGCAACTATTCTTCACAGATATTTATACCAAATAGTAGGTTATTAGTTGCTTCCAGCGCCATCTATCATCGTTATACTGTACTTTGATTTACGGAGTTTGTAAAGAAACAACACAAATCAATTAATAATGTGTAATTTATTCTCACATCAGTTCGTAATAAACGGAAAATTAACGAGACGATGTATCCAAACACAGCCTAAACTCCTAATCATGTTTCCTAGAAATGTTCCGAGTTTGTTATTTGTATGAGTTGTTTATAGTAGTAGTAATATATAATGATATACAAATATTTAATTCGCATGATATTAATATCTCTTATTGGGTTGTTCCAAAAAAGTTAATAAATACTCATAGTTCCATTTTTTTTTAATTATCAAAGGACTTTTATTGAAAACCAAGTTTCAATAAAATAAAACAATGTCTATATTCTCACCAAGTTATCCATGGTGGCTGATTCATTTTACTTATAGAGACATACGTCATATTAACGGGTAAATTTACTATTGCATAGTTCAAATGCAACTTTTTAAGAGTTCTAAAAATTGTCGCTCCATTTCGGCCTAGCAAGAATGCTGCTGGTATATTTACATCTAGGTCCATTCTGAAAAAGATACAGAATAATATGGTTATGCATAAACATAATATGTACAATATACCAAGAGAATTTATCAGTTCTCTATAATAAATTGTGAGTGGTAAATCAGAAAATAATTTTACTAATTAGCCTGCCTCCTGCGATTAACCTAACCATTACTTTTACCTAATAAAAATGTGACTAAGTTAGTAAAAGTAGCGCTCAAAGAGAACCACAAACACATAGTAACATCAATCATTAAAAAGATATTATATGATATTATGAATGGCATACCTCATTCGAGAATGGGTCCTATAACACTTAATATTGTTATCGGTAGTTGTGTTAAGCTAATAACCTTTCATTCAGTATGAAATTATTTGTTTAGAATTTTAGGTTTTAGTTGGAATGAAGAGAATATGTATAATGTTTTACTATTTTTTATAATCTCTTCAAATATTATGTGGTGCTATTATTGTTACCATTTTATTTAAGTTTGATGTTACCATAATATAATTTTGTATGAGTGACATTGTTATGCTAGCAAAGTTTTTTAGGTTAACAAATGTTTACTGCAAGTATTACAAAATAAAATATTTACTTATCATCAACCATTTCAATTAAATGGTCTAAAGGATCATCCCACAGATTAACTGACTCTGTAATAATGATAGCTCGTGCTCCTGCCTGTTGGGCTTTAGTTGCTTTATAGACAAATGAGCAATCCCTGAAAAAAGGGTTGTTTTTTTCGATCAGTTGAAAGTATCAGACTAATTATATTGTTCATATATAGTTGATTATTATTGAACAGTTAACATACCCACGCTCTGCTAAGGCAATGTTGCCAGCAATATCGTCCTGGTTAAAAAGATCTGAACAGCTATTAATGGGTACAGTTGGTACAAGTTTAGCTCTCTCTAAATGAAAGCTTTCATTCTGAAAATGGTTGTCCAATTAGATAAGGAATAGCAGATTAAGAATTTATTTACAACAGTGAATCTTACAAATGTGGCTCCAAAATCTTTGGCAGGTCTTATTCTATAGGAATATTTCAACTCGGGTGGATCAATGATTTCAAAAAATACGTCTCCTGCTATAACATCAGCAGATGATGACCCATCGTGGAAATGTAGATCGTTCGCTGAAAACAACGTAAAACATATGACATTATATTATATTCATATTCCTACTTAACCTAAATATTCGTTTAATACCTCCTGGTAAAACTGCTTCCATGTGCAACAATAAAACAGCATTGACTAGAAGTATATTTCGCTGTCCTAATGACATTATTTAACTAAACTTTATTGTAAAACGGTAACAAGTAAATGTAATCATTTTCGTCATAAACTTAAAGTAGGTGCATTTTAGATTATATCGTAATATGATCAAAACATGATCGCAGACGTAAACAAATAATTTTATAACAAAATATAGACTATAAGCATCTCGACGAGGCTATGATTTCCACAGAATGAAGAATACATATCTAGCAGTTCTTATTTTTTATAGTATATATTATTTAGTTATTTTGTATAACATTAGTGTGTGTGTGAGAGAGAAGTGACAGTAAAAGCTATCGTTGTCATATTTACTTAAAAACAAAGAAATTCGTAAAAACTATTTTTTTTTATTTAAGAGAAAAAAGACTTGCTTTAAAGATCTCGTTACCAGGCCATCAAAATATTATTTATATAATTTAACATTGACACGTGTTACCAATGAAGTTAAACCGCCTCACTTTACGTGATCGTTTTTCCCTGATCAGAGACACCAAAAAGGGCAATTCTTACCTAAGAGATATTCAGTTTCATTGACATATGCTAGCATCCGACATTCCTGTTTCTAGTAACATTGTAATTATTTAACAATAACGATCTACGATCAGCGGATATCTCTTTATTAATAATTTATATATGTAATAAATAAATAATAAATATGTTTATTGTCATACTTATACAAATACGTTTAATTATACAAATTGCATTTATTTATTTAATCATCGTAAACTATTATTACAACATGATTATACCGAAAATAAAGAGGGTATTTTCATAATTCTAGGACGTTATGGCGTAGGTTATAATGGGAGCTCAAGGAAGTTATAAAGGATAATAATTATCAATGATAACAATTTATGTAGTAGAATATTACAACTTTTAGGAAAATATGTAACAATATAAGATGGAAAAGTGAATTCCGTATACTAAACACACTACAATAATAACAGGAATGAATTCGCCGATCTCAATCAACCAATATAACTACATATACTACTGTATAGAACTGTTTTCTGACACGGCTACATGATATTTTATTAATTAATTACTTCATATCACCTAACTTAATGTTATTAACGAATACTAAGCAATAAATCGCATCTTCCAAACGCTCATTTAGAATAATATAGGCTTAATATTATGTTTATATATATTGTCTTAATGCTATCAACCTGGCCGTATCAAGACATTTATAACGTTACTTATGTCAATGTCATTATTAATTATATCACGTGACTTAGAATTGCCTCTTGTATTTGTAACGTTGGACAGTTAAACAGTTTGTTAATATAAACAGTAATATGCGGCTTTAAATCTTATTAACATTATACGATAGTGAACTGAAATAAATTTTAATATTATACAAGGATTTTTCAGTAAATATTGAATACAACAAGCCGGCGTTAAGCGGAAAAGAAGCTGCGACAGTATTTAGTGAGTACCATTCGCAACATTAATTTTATATATTAACCAACAGTTTCAACTAAATTATTGCAACAAACTATAATTGCTTGTTAATAATATAACTGAAGTTGTTTGTTATGTTTTATTAATTTATATAATATAATTGAAAAATAATTTATACACCAAACTTAAATTTCCTATTTACTACATATCAAGATTTAAAGCCATATTAAAATCCTGGGACAAAAATCTTGTGAAAAGTTCATACAATTATTTAATATATAATTTACCATACATACCAGTACCAGTATTACATTAAATTTCATCATGCTTAAACATGCTGAACTCAAGTCACTACTTTTTTAACGTTAAAGTTTATGCTTACTAATAATATTAACTTAATACTTTACCACTTAATGCTATGTAAATTATTATTCTTTTACTAGTGCAATTGAACAACATGAATCAAGATTTAGAACAGTTTAAGCCTCGACTTTATCAGGCACAGCTTGAAGAAGTGGCAGTAAACAAAAATACCATTTTGCATTTACCTACAGGTATGTAGAATATTACATAATTGGGTTATTCTCTGTAAGTATTTATATCAAATTTTGATGATTAAGCGCAGCAAAAAACAAAACTATAAGAATATTGTAATACAATTTATTCTTATATCTTTATTAAGTAAATCAAAATGCTGTATGTGCAAAATCACATGTACACATAAGCAATAGCAACTTGTCATAAATACAGGCTTATTAATTTTCCTTTATTTTATTGGTTTCAGGAGCTGGAAAAACTGTCATAGCTGCCCATCTAATAAAAAGGTTTATGTATAGCTTGAAGAAGCCATGGGGAGAAGGGGGCAAGCGAACATTTTTTCTAGTTAACACTGTTCCATTAGTGAACCAGCAGGTAAAAAGTACCTAAATAAATAGTAATAAGTAAATAGTGAAATTACATTTTAAACTTTTATTTTTATCATATGGAACACATTACAGTACGTATGGTTGACTACTTTCTGAAATGTTTATAAAAATATACTTTTCATGTTTTGACTTGTACAAGCAATACTTTGTATTGCATTCTGAGAATAGATATTATTGATGACTACAATAACATAATGTAAAATTCTTATCTTTGTGGTTATATGTTCCACTGTTTTACGTAAATCCATTTTAATAAACGCTTGACTATAGGTAGATAATAAATATATAAATTCAGTTTTACATTTTTTTTTATTACTGAAACAAAAAACTATGGCCACTACTAATAAATCTGAATGCATTCTCGCTGTAGTTTTAGGTAGTTATGACAATTTTTTAATCACTGTTTCCTATTTGTATATATGATCAATATTTGATAATGGTACATTAAAAAAAAACACAAAATATTTGTATAAAGACTTATCCAAATTTTATATAGATATTTGTCACCTAGCTAATAGTAATAAATTTATTTATGTAGAAAACTGTCATAGAGAAGCTGTGTCCAGTCACAATTGGTGGTTACAGTGGGGAGGATAAAGTAGACTTTTGGAATAAAACTAAATGGGATGCTGAACTTACAAAATATGAGGTTAGTTTAACAATATATCTTAAATTCTTTACCATGCTATGCATTTGTGCAGCTGCTTATGTTATGTAGAACTTTGAATATTTGAATTTTCTTATTAATCAATTGCTTTGTTTTACTTAAATTTTAACTAACTGAAACTAAAAAAAAATACCTTATATACATTATAAGGTATTTTTTTTTAGTTTTTATTTAGTCAAACTTTGTGTGCCAATTTCTGTCATCTGTTGATCAATGTATTTAGATTTAATTCGTTATTACTGAATCTTGTTTATTTCAGGTTATTGTGATGACAAGTCAGATTTTAAGTGATATGCTAACACACAACTACATTAAAATTGTGGACATAAATTTGATGATATTCGATGAGTGTCACCAAGCTGTAGACGACCACCCGATGCGTCTAATAATGAAACATTTTGAAGAGTGTCCACCGGCTTTGCAGCCTAGAGTTTTAGGTATTACTATTTTTCTAGTGAGGACAACGATTTGAAGGTTAAATAATTAAGTTTACATAAATTGCTGACCACCTGATCCGCATCCCCCTTCTCCGGGGAGGTTTGGGTTACCCAACTCGAATCCAAGTTTTGGGTGAATTAAAGAGATATTAGCACTTCAAAAATTTATTATATATTATTATTATTATTTATATATATATTTTTAAATATAGTAACACTATATTTATTTAAAATATAGTGTTAGTTCTAGTTCACTAGTTCCCGCAACTTTATCCGCGTCGTAATAATTACAATGTTATTTTGGGTATCATAATATTTAGTTTTGCAAACAACCTTTTCTGCTTTATTAATTACTAGCTCCTCAAATATGAATAATTTTGTTTTTTTTTTCACATTCCCACTGTTTGTTTGTGTTGACGCAGCGTGATGTTTTATAGCCTAAAACCTTTCTCGATTAATACTCTAAGCAGCAATTAGGTGTTTTTTGTTAATAAGAACCTGTAATTCTAAGAATATCGCAATTGAAAAAAACCAACTCTATAATTTTAGTAGGTATATATATACATGCATTTATGACTTGAGTTTCTTGAATCTGTTTCAAGGTCTCACTGCTCCATTGCTGAATTCAAATGTACCATTACATAAAGTTGAAGAGACGTTACAGAAACTTGAAACTACCTTCCACGCCACTATTGCAACTGTAAATGACAACATTGGCGAGATTCTAAGGTAACGAAATAGAATTTAATATCGTTGTTTTTCTTAATTCTCCATCTTACAATGGACTGCATAATTCATACACATATGTCATTCTATAATACGATAGTATTAGAGAAATTAATTAAAATAAGAAATTGTCAATGATTTCTGACCGCCACTGTAGCTAAATAGTTCAACGTGTTGACTAACATTACGTTGAGCGCGCGTAGGACCACGTGTTTCGAATCCCGGGAAAATAACAAACGGTTTTAGTCGAGGAGGGCATTGAAATCTGATCAACTACTTGCCTGTTAATAAAACCGATCAGGGAAGCGGACGCAGAAATGTGTTCGCCCCATGCCCCACGAGGGAAGCCATATTCCACACTTTACAATGATCGTAGATGAAAAGCCATGTTCTGTTCGGTAATTTAAGAACAATTGTACTCCTTCCATTAAGTTTTATTAAAAAAAAATTATAATAAATAATTGCGTTGAGGACACAAAAATTATTTGAAAGCGAACTCAAGAGCGACCAATATTAAAATCTAATTAAATTTAAATAATTAATTTGTTTTTAGATATTCAACGAATCCCACCGAGATGTTAGTTCATTTTCAAAATCCAACACCAAATAACGCCATTGTGGAAGCCAAGAAGTTGCTAAGTCATTTATTGATTCTCATAAGTAAAGTCAAGTTGCCCCCGAAAATTGTTACTACTGTTGAGTTGAATTATGGACAACAAATTATTACTTATGATACTAAAAAGGTAATCTCTATTCGCATTTGTCTTCCAGCAAGATCATTAATCGAGGAAACCAATTTCCAATGTGATTCAGACATTAATGTCTTTATCTAAGAAAACCAGCATGACCTAATAATAAAAAAAATATTACTTATACTTATAGTGAACAGTAGTTTGTGGTCGTGGATTTAATTCCCACCGGATTCAACACAATTCTAATCAAGGCATCTAGATTACTCCATGGATGGGTGGTAGGTATCGAAATTCCGTCTGAGTCCAATAAATACTTTTTTGTTTTGGGAAGTCACTAGTATTTTGTAAGAAAGAGATGGCTTATTGTAAAATTCACATGAGAGAAAGGGACTTTTCAAAAAGACATCAACGTGCGTTTGTTTTAGAAACGCATGGTTACTTTCAATGTCCATTATAACTTGAGCTGCTTGGGACTGGTCATATAAAATTAATTGGTTGTTCGAAAAGTCATTTCGTTTAGGGCACCCACACATCGAGCGTCGAGGTTAAGCCTATGCCTTTCAAATGGCTATAAACAGTCGAATTCGACAATATTTTACTTACCGGTGGAATGTGATACCATCTTTTTGAACATTTGATGTTCTTTTTGAATTTACACACCATTTTATTGCACATGTTGCCATTTTTGTACGTTTGAATACAGTAAAAGTATTTTAAGCGTATTCGTTACTTGGTCCCAAGTGAAGAAGCGTTACCAGCGTTCAGGACTTATAGTAGCAAATGCAACCATGTGTGGTGACTATTGACGGTCCTCTATACGGAATCTATTGGAGGTGATCTGTGTCTGACCTCCTCTCTCATTAAAACAATGAAGAAAAAGTTGATAATTCATAATACTAATAAATAAAAGTTTTGCAGATTAACAAAGAGGTAGCCAATATGGTGACGTCAATTTGCTACCATTTGGACGAACTGGGTGCATACGGTGGTGTACTGTGCATCATAGCCTATACAATACTCTTGGAACGGTTAAAACGGCGGGCCACGTCTGAGGAAGAGCTGATGTACACCTTCACTATTACTCATTGCACTGAGTAAGTCTAAAGAAATATCGATTGAATAATAGTATGCCCATTTCAGGCCAGGGTATAGGAAGAAAGTAGTGAATTCCTATGAGTAAGATAAATTATGATTAAGAGAATAAATACATTTGATTTTTTTCACATGTAAGTGTAAAATAAGGTTTTTTTCGCGGACTGAATAGCTTGATAGCTTGAAATTACTGCTGCTGGCTGTGTGAAACTAAAAGGGAATGTTTGACTGCTGTTAATTAACGAAATTCTTTAAGTTAAACCTTCTTCTGAAATTTCTTCTATCACTAATTATTTTTTAAATAAAATCACAAAGAAATAAAAAAAGAAATTATTAAACAAAATAATAACAAAATACCAGTTATGCTATAATAACACTCTTTATAACATGTTATGCAGTTCGCTATACGAAACATATAAGATTAGTAGGTAATATGTTTCTATAACATTATAACCAAGGAAGTAATATAAGACCATAATAGCACTCAATTTCCAGGAAACTATCTCAGTAGCTAAATGGTTAAACGTGTTGCATATTGCGTTAAGCGAGAGAGGTCCTGGTTTCAAATTCAGGGGAAACAATAAATTGTTACGGTCGGGGCACAGTAGTGTGATCAACTACGTAGTTGTTCAGTTTACTTTACAGGCAAGTACCTGTAAAGTAAACCAATCAGTGACGAGTGGAACGAACACTGCATCGTGTTCGCCCCGCGCCCCAATGGGGAAACGGCATTTCAATTTTTTTTTCAGGGCAAAAATGGTGTTATTAAATCACATGAGAGAGGATACTGGATTCACGAAAATCGTAAAACACTCTTCACCTAAAGTAATTCTTTTGTTAAAACTTTTGAAAGATGCATGGAGAGAAAAGGGTAAATAAAATATGTTGTTTAATATGTAGGTACTTACTGCCCCCTATTTGCAAAAAAAATGACACCTCCATTAGAGTCTGAATGGAGAAATCTGGATTGTAAAGGTGGGAATGTCGAAATTCCGCCCGGGTTATAACCACCGTTCACGGGTGAAAAAGTCGTCTTCAATTTCAGTCTGGATTTACGAATATCCAAATAAAAATTTGGTGATTGAAGACAAAGTCTTTTGCGAAACGAAAAATACTTTCAGTTCACTTTTCACTTATATTTCAGGCAATGAACTCTCTTCCATCATATTTACTCAACAACGATTTACGGCAAAGTTGTTATATAATCTGCTTAAAGCAGTTAAGAAACATAACTCGGAGTTTGATTTTCTCAAACATGATTTTATCGTTGGTTTCAATGTAAATCCGTATAATAACACAAGGGAACAACATTTAACGAAAAAACTAAGTCATCAGGCTCTGCTACAATTTAAAAATAGGTGTGTCTGTGTCTGTCTCCCTTACTGTATGTGAACTATCTTGTTGGTTTGACTCAAAATAATATTTCTCATCGAATTTTTTATCAATCTAATCAAGAGGTCAAAAAGTTGTTCTAATTAAATTTAAAATATTACTATGTATTATTTATATTACTATATATTATATTGTAATCGGGACGTTTCTTTCTACTAATTGTAACTCTTTCAGGGATTTGATGTGTTTGATATCTACTCGAGTTATAGAAGAGGGCGTGGATATACCACAGTGCCTACTTGTCATACGATATGATCTGCCATTGGAATATAGATCCTACATTCAAAGCAAAGGTTTGTTCAAAGACTTTAAATTACAAATATATTATCAGTATAATAGTTTTGGGAGTGAGATATATTAAAAAATTAAACAAAAAATATACACAATTGTCTGAGAGTTAGCATCTTAAATAATTTAAGTAATACATATATTGAAATACGATGATAACAGGATTTTTAAAATTGTGACTTGCATAGGTCGTGCCAGAAACAAGGAGTCCAAGTTCATAATGATGGTTTCTGAAGAGAATAGTCTCAAATTCAGACAAAAATATCAGAACTTCCAACAACTGGAAGGACGATTGCATCAAGTGAGTTTTCTAGAAGAGCGTAGAATAAGTTTATACAGAAGTGACATTTGCAATCAAAACGTTAAATTTGTAAAAGATTTAAGTATAAGTCTTGTGATAGTTAACATATTAACAAAAAAGTATAAACTTGTGAAACTTTGGAATACCATGGCTTGCTGCTATGAAAGCCCAGAGCACTCGAATTATTTTTTTTCTAGCGCTAGTTCAGTGAAAATTTACATGTTCTGTCTTTGAGTGTTTCCTTTTCTTTCTTTTGTTTTTAATAAATAAAGGATTATCATGTCAAATATTGTATTTGATTAAATAAACCCATTACAGTCGCTGTTGAGTAACTGCTTAGAACGTGCAGCACCAACCGAGGAAGATATTAAAGCGTTATACGAAGAAGACGATATTCCACCCTACGTCAATAGCAATGGAAGTAAGATATTGCAATAAAAGATACTTCTATTCCCGTTACAATTAAAAAATAACATATAGTTCTATAATTTAACTCTTTTTTTAACAGAGCGCCTATTTTCATCATCAGCTATAGCTCTCCTATATCGGTATTGCTCCGTGCTTCCACACGACCAGTTTACCCTGATTACTCCCATGTGGATTCTTGAAAAGGGCAGCAATCAGATAACGATCGTTATGCCCATTATGTGCCCAGTTAAACAACCAATAAAGGTATACGACAGTCCAATACATAAAATGGTCATTTATAAAGTATTTCCGAATATAAAAATTAGGTCGACATTGCATCTTGTGTAGAGGTTTTATGGCTGGGTTATTCCACCTCCCATCAAGTGACCCCATGCTTACCTGTCCTCCTCTATCTTTAAAAATATATATTTTAAATACTTAATAATGATTTTTCTAATGGTAACGCGCGTAATATTAAAACCTTCGCAAGGAGAAAATGGGTAAATGGTCGGCGGATAACGTGGACTGATCATCCGTCCTGCCATGGTGTCCCCGATAGAAAATAATAATCACGGGCGTAATAAATCTATTACGTTCACGTGTTACGGTTATATGTTGTGTGGTGTGTTATATGTTCAGGGTAATCAACCCAAAAAGAATGTCGAAATTACATAATTTTATAGTGGTAATCATTGTTTTGCCAAATGTATATTTTTTGTATTCTTAAGTTTTCAAGTGCATAAAATATAAATTATTTATTTATTTCTTTTAGGGCCAACCGTCGAAGAATTTAAAGACCGCAAAGCGATCGGCTGCTCTTAACGCTTGCATCAAATTGATTGAAAGTGGGGAATTAGGGCCAGAAATGTTGCCTAGGAAGTATGGGTAAGTCTGTATTTCTACAGAGTAAGAGAGAGCTCGTTAACCATCTACGTACGTTAAATAAAATTACGTTAGCCTCAAAACATCACTTTTAGACAAATTGACAATTTTGCCTTACAGTTGTTTTTGTTTCAGGGAAGTACAGTATGAGCAAATAGACATAAAAGAATGTTTTCCTAATTGGCCATGGGACAAACCTGATGAATTGCAGGGAAAACAGGGAGTGCCAGCAGCGGGTACTAAGAAGAGAGTGAGAAAGCATAAAAAAGTGGTATGACATATTAAATTATAAATCTCGTATTTAGATTGAAAAAAAAAACGAAGACGATGGCGGATATTATACCAGCATCCATAGGTTTTTGCGCAATTATCAACCTTAACAATCACATTTTAAGTTCAATGTGGGATACTATGAAATTGCAGCTTGAACGTTTGAAAACGTTATTATTTTTCACATGTTATCCACGAGATGGTGTATCTCATATACCTAAGTCATGCCATAATCCAGCATATCTTTTTCTTCTTCTCTCTTTTTTTTCGCATCTTTACATATTAACCTATATGAACAGACATGGATTTACTCAGAGCTAAAACATTTCCAGTTTAGCTCACATAGGAGGAGCTAAAGGATATTTTCTTATATTGTAGAATATTGTAGCCCTTTTGGTATCTAATTCTATATTGGTCATCAAGATAATACTTAATTGAGCTATTTTATGAATTCCAGTACCCGAGTTTGTTGAACGGAAGATTGTGGACAGGTGGAAACCAGAAGTTTTATTTGCATTTAATCAAATTAGGTACAGCCTTCGAGAAATCAAAGACCTCACGCGAGAGTGCTCTATATAATCTTCTTCAATTGGACGATGGCTATGGGCTTCTTACTATGCAGCCATTGCCGGAACTGTGTGATTTTCCTATGTTTTTAATGATTGGAGAAGTAACAACAAGCGTCGTGATGAACTACTCAGTGCTTGATTTGGATCTGAACATGTTCGAGCTTGTTAAACAGTAAGTATTTTTATTATATAATTTTTAGATAAGGCCAGTGCCCACAACACACACACAATGCCAGTGACTTCGTCGGCGTAGAATAGTTATTTTCGCGCATCAAAATTTGTTTTTATTAATCTTTTCTTATCCCAAAAACAAAAGTAAGTGGTAAGCTGGGTTGAACAAATTCTACAAGACAGGCGGGAATTCAACCCTCAATAATCGATTCACCATAACCAATGGAACATTTTTACGTCTCATTCATTGTAATATTAACCTAAACACTAGCGATATACGAGGTGATCTTCAATGCCCTATAGTTTTCAGCGTAAAAAATAATTGACGAAACAGATTACATTTCATATACAATTTATATTTTAACGAACACAATTTAAACACTTGGAACTTCGTATAAAATTTACTTAGATTGCTTATTTTTAATCCTCATAAATTTTCTTTTTTCAAAACTGTTCACAACATTTGTGTTAATGTTATTATATTGTTAGTCATATTGCGTAACTCTGTCAGTACACCAGAGGATTTTTTTACAAAAACGACATTTGTTTCAGCTTTCATTTCTACGTGTTCGATCAAGTGCTAGCGATAGCGAAGAAGTTCGTTGTTTTCGAGGGATTAGTTAACTGTTTGTACGTTGTTCCTACTTGCAAGAGGGATAGATTTGTTATAAATTGGGATATAATGCAGACCTATAAAGAAGTACCACCTGTTGCTGTGCCGTCGAATAAAGTAAGATCTTATCTCGTATAGGGAAATGGTGCAGACATTCTACTTCTTCCGTTTAAAAAACGCTTTTTAAACGGAAAAAAATTAAGCACTAATATTGTGATTTTATGATAATTTTAAAAAATGTACAGGAAAGAAGTTCGATCCAAGTGACACGAGAAACTTATCAGAATCAAGTTGTAACGCCGTGGTACCGAGCTACTTTGCTGCCTGATAGGTAAGGAAGTAGAAAAAAAACTTAATTGAGATTACAAGGGACCAAGACGTATGTACCAATTATTGAGGGTTTCCAATAATCCAGTTTTACAATTAAGCAGGTTTAAAATTATACTTGTTATTTACAACCACCGTGTTTGTAAACATACATGGCATTATGTGTAAAAACCAGATTCATTTGACTCACATGTACAGGTGATTGAGCTACATAGTCTCAATTGTAGAATCCAAATCTCATTTAACCGGGTCCAAAAAGTTCCAATAACAAAGGTGATTTTCCAGGTCCCATTGAACCTTGAATTTGAAATGGAACCATATGAGTTCTTAAACGGAACCATGTAAATTACCGTTAATACGGAACCTTACATGTGCTGGTCAGACTCGCTATTTTAAAGCTCGATTTTTTCTGTTATTCCTTACATACATGTGTTTAAGTAGTCCTTAACAAAGATGTTGAAGCTAAGATGTATGTTATATTAAAGCTATGTTATTAAGAAATAACAAATAAACATTTGCAGGTATATAGTATCAGATGTCCTCGAGCATATGACACCCAATTCCCCGTTCGATTCTAACTCATTCGAATCGTATGCAGATTATTACTCCAATAAATACCAGTTGGAAATCGTGGGTCCAGGAAACCAGCCATTGTTGGAAGTAGGTTGCGATTTAAAAACCCTCATACACCAATAACATAAAATAAGTATTACTTACATAAATTCTTACTTACCTTACATTAATTCTTTCATATAAATAAATATATTTATCAGTAGTAATGTATAAAGCTGAAGTGTTTGTTTGAACGCGCTAATCTCAGGAATGACAGTTTTAAGTTTAAAAATTCATTTTGTGTTGGTTAGTGCATTTATTGAGAAAGGCAACATGGTAAACACATCAGGTTGTGACCAATAGGAGCAAAGAGACAGTGGAGAATGTAGAAAACATTTCCATGCGTTGGTTGCAAAAACGGTTCAAGATACCCAAAAATTATGTATGAAAGAATGATTTCTTTATAAGCGATTAAAAAAAATGTCCGCTATTAGTGAATCTTTTAAGATTGACTTGCAAGAACGAAGGCACGCGCACGTCGAAGGTAAAATCTATAATTTATGAATATGAGGAGGTTTGCAAAAACAAATTTTTGGTGCCCATAATAACTATTGTACGGGAACGTACACACGCAGACAGAGCTAGTACGTTACTTTTGAGAATGCTGGTTTTATATCTTTCTTAATAATAGTGTTGTTTTTGTCAGACTGATACATCATACTTTTATAGGTACGCCGTATCAGTACCGGGATGAACTGTCTATTACCACGAGGACCGACAATAAGGGCTTTTACGGAGAAGCAGAAGAGGCTTGTCTCCTTAGCAAACGGTGATGACAAGCCGAACGGCTTCAACGAAATCTTCATACCAGAATTCTGTATCAAGTACGAATATCCTAGTGTACTGTGGTATAAGGCATTTATGCTGCCTAGCATAATTCATAGGTAAGTCTTTTTCAATTTAATTATTTTAAAACTTTCATTCCAATCGACTTTCTTCGCGTGTTAGTAAAAATTTGCTATTTCCAACCGTAAAAAATCGTTTATCTACATATTAATGAAGTCTGTCAATTTTTAATTTTTCGTATTCGTATGTATGTGTATTTTTTCTTAAACAAAAGTATACCTAAATAACCAATTGTAACCAACAGGGTTACCATGCTTCTAGTTGCGTATGAGCTGCGCGCGCAAATTGCTAGAGATACTATGTATGGCCAGCCTCATTTGAACAAAGGTAAATAAATTATTAAAAAAAATTTTGCAAAACGCCTCCTATAAACTAAAATTTGTAAATATTTGTGTTATAGGTGAGAAATGGTTGCCAATATCAACGGACTTAAACAAAGCCATGAAGAGTCTACTATCACAAGTTGAAGAGCCGGCGACATTCAATAGTATAGACAGGTAACACATATTTAAACCAGTTATATTTTAGATACCGACCACTGAAACGAGTTAGCCCCATACCCCACGAGGGGTTTTTGATTTTATTTAATAAGCAATGTTTTTGGGTTCCATAGTCGTAAAGTAAAACTATAATATGACTGAAGTCATATTAGCTAGGTAGGTAGTTAGATTTAAATAAAATACTTTAACGGTTTAAAACGCGAAATATATTAGTTAAACGTAGTTAAAGTGATTTATTTAAGATAGAGAGTTATTTTGCCAAATTGTAGATTGTTGTTGTCGGTATAGCTAAAAATACATACTAATCATAATAAGACTTTGCCCTTTCACTACTCACCCGGTTAAGCTCCCGTCCATCTCTTTAAGCTCCCACCCGCATTGCGGCGGTCTAAGCCGAGGGCACTCTTTGTCTAGCTCAAACATCCGGTTAGTATTCGAGGTCCCGGACCCAATACGTTACAATCCTAATCAAAAAACATTTTTTCCGTTTTTACGAACAATCGATAATATCAATAAATAATAACAAGCCTTTAAAATAATTAATCAAAATCAAAATTTACAGTAATATTATTTTATTCCTGTCTACCATTGTGGAGAGGTGTAGGCGCGACGACTCACATTAGGTCAGCTCCTATTGAAGTTAAGAGCTTTGGTTTCATGGCTGTCCTATTTTTTGTAGGATAAATGACCCTATTGATGAATATGCGCCTCGGCCGCTAAATATTGTCACTATGAAGCAGACCATTCACCAACTTCAGAAGAAAAAGCTGGATAAGGAGTATCCTTGGGAGGTCAGTTGCCACAATAAAATGTGAGATTACTGAGACTCATACAGCGTAACCTGGTAATTTGGGATCGCAAGGGACCAAGACGTATGTACTAATATTATAAGTGTCCCTTGTGACGATGAACGCTAAAGCATTCGAAACGTCTGCTTTGAGTCGTAGTTAAAAATAAGTTATATTTCATGTTTTAAAACGTTATAAGTATCTAATTAAATATTGTCTATAATACACATTTAAATATAACCCAAGGGGGGTTATATTACGGTTAATTCTGTAAACGCATTTTTTCTAGGAAACCGCCGAACCCCTAGACGTCGAGCGAAATCTTACGGATGTGACTCTAATGGACATAGAGTGCTACGATGCATTCGTCATGGCGCCAATAGAAGAGACAAAGCCCGCCCATCCAGCTAAATCGCCCGTCAGCCAACCTTTATCCACTGCTATATTGCCACCTCCGTTAAGGTGCGTCCTATACCGACTTTTACTGTGCCATAATATGTTCCTGGCTCCACACATTCTTAATCTTATAATGCTGACCTGGCAAAACTTATTTTAAGTCCAGTCTGTACTTAACGCGAGTAGTACACATTTAAATAATATAATTTAAACCTTTAAAGTGTTATTTGAAAAAAAGCTATTTTGCCATATGTAGTATTTCGATTTTGATTACAAAAAAATGGTTTTATAATACTATCGCGGACATTTTTTTTAGATTACTCCAAGAAGTATAATTCTTACACATATTTTTTTGGGTATCTTGAACCGTTGTTGCAGCGCACGTAATAGCAACATTCAAAGACAAATATATTTTTTTTTTATTTTCTTACCATTTTCCACAGTTTCTTCGTTTGGTCGCAGCCTGATGTTTTGTATCCTAAAGCTTAGTTAATCCAACACAAATGTTTTTTAATTCAAACTAGTAGTGGGTCCTGAGCTTAGCACATTTTAATCAGTATAGATTTGTTGGCGCAATTATTATCATTTTATCATTGTTTACTAAAGTTTTCGAGCATTGCTAAGCAAGACAAACAACTAAAGGAGCTTTTCAAAATGGCTGCGACATCTAATATAGTTTTAGCTGTTCGCTGCAAAGTCATTGTTCAGTATTGCCTAAATTGGATTAAAATTAATCTGGTACTATACGAACAATAACCAAAATACCGAATTAAAAGGTAGATCAGATAGAAATCAGTATATTATATTAACAAAATTGTTACTACTGTAAAATGTAAACTGCTTCAACATTCAATAAATTACTAACAAATTACCCTATTGCACATTTGTAATATAAAATTGGGCTACATTGGCGTCAACTTTCTCGCCAGTTTTTGTTTGTTCTACGGCCTTTTATTTGAGTTTTTTAGGTGATAGAAGAGAACAGAAAAGCATAGCAAAACCATTACTCGGTAAAAAGTGAAATACGCAACATCTCAACAAGATACGCTGTCGTCCTATTTCTCTTTTGGATATTCGTAAATCCAAAGAATGAATTTAACCACCATTAAACTTCACGGTCTTTCATCTGTGGACGGTTGTTCGTAGACCTTGAATGTATATTATGAAATCTACGTAAATACTTAGATTCTCAATTTATTTCGTAAAGGTATTCGGACAAGATACACCTGCTTTCGCGCGGAGCAACGGGTCGTGGTCCTGAGTTGCGTGACATCTTATCAGCACTGACGACGATCAATTCTCACGACTCCTTCGACTTGGAAAGAGTGGAAACCCTCGGAGATTCTTTCTTGAAGTTTGCCTCAACCTTGTATCTCTACAACAAATTCCCGCGGCTGGATGAAGGCCAGCTGACTAACATTAAGGGGCGATTGTTAGGAAACAGGTTAGTTATATATTTACGTCTGAAACTCTATAGTCTATATATGTCAATATTTTTGTTTGTCCTTCTTCCCCGCTCCTTGAAACAACCAATGGTTTTATAGGTATAAAACCTTAGAAAGCTAGCCAACTTTAAATTAAGAAGAATTTCTTTGTTTTCTTAATGGGACACTGATAGAAGGCCGGGTGATCAGTCTACATCATTTTCTGACCGTTCCGCCCAGAACCAAAGCTTAAAGGAGATAAAGAAAAAGTAAACGTGTCGGCGTTTCGTGATGGAATTATGAACAAAATTGTGACACTATCTGTTTTATCGCATGAGAGGCCAACTTATCCTTAAACACCTATCTTACATAAATATGTGCATATTATTTGGAACTTATGCCAATGCACTAAATGTTTCCGTACATATTTTTTTTTGGAAAAGTTAGTGTAAATCCCTTGTTTATGAAACCTATAAGCAATACATTACAATTTTAATATTTTTAACAGAAACTTATACTATGCTGGTGAGAAAATCAATCTCGGTGGTCGTATGAAAGTGGAACAGTTCGCTCCAAAAAGTGATTTCATAATTCCTGGCTTCTTCGCTCCTAAAGAAGTGATTAACTTTATTGAAGAACAGAAGGTAAGTTTTGAATAATCACCTCTAGAATCAAGGAAAAAATGTATATAATATGTACAAGTTTATAATGGGACTAAATTAATTAGGAAAATGAACGAAACAATTTAGTGAATGAAAATATGTTCAATACTTTGAAAACATTAATATTTTTCACATGTTATTGCACATGAAGGCACTATATAATTTAAAAATCGAAAATAAGTTGAAAATATATTCGACTCGGGCAGGACTTGAAGAGCAACAGCACGGAAAGCTGACGATCCCGGTTACTTTCATTAACTATTTATTTATTTAGGAGAGGGGCTAGTAATGCAAACAAACTATATAATGATATGGAATGTTATTTTTTGTTCGTTCCTTTTAATTCCAATGTTTTTCATTACAAAGCCTACCATTTAATTAAGTTATACAGCACTAAAGAATTATCGAAACTTAACTTTATACTCCTGGATCTAAACAATTGCGTAATCATTTTATCATATCGTGATAATATCCAAAAAGAAACTACATGCACATATCGCAATTCGTCTTATCACAATATTCTACTAATCAACTTATATTAATCAGTTAATGACTAATCAGTCATTTGCCATCTTATAATATTATAAGCCACGAAATAAATGAGATCGGCATATTTACTCGAAGCATGCCAGAACCATTGAGGTACAGAGACGGAAAACAGTTAAGATTATGATAATTACCGTTTCCTACATGCTTGGAAACGCAGCGAATGTTAATAGCTCATAATATTTTGCGATGCTTGTGAAAGTAGCGCGTAGTCGTCGCCACTTATTCTTAAGTGCGTTTGCTTTGAGTTTTTGCGTCGAACTGGATAAACTCTTTCACCGACTCGAAAACGTCGTCAGCTAGCTCCTTAGGCGTGTGCATACCGGCGAAGTGCCCTCCGAATTCGAGTGTAGTCGATCTGACGAGGTTCACGAACTTGTCTCGCAGGATCCAATCCGGTTGATAAACAACTTCATACTTGAAGTTTATAGCAGCCGTCGGCACTGGTGTTGGAATACTGAAAATTATGCGTAAAAACAATATCTTATTATTATTGATCCAGTGTACTCGTATAGCTTATGATGATAATTTCCAGATTGTTCTAAACATGTTTGGTCCCGTTTGGAAAATGTGGACGTTAAATAGGCGGAATGAATTTCAAATTTAACCACCACTTGTTGGACGGTCTTTGAATTTGCAAATGTATAAAGCAAAAACGAGTCTACCGCTCATCTTTCCAAGACGCAGTAGGGCTGGAGTATTTTACGTTCCATAGTTAGACCCCTATTAAATTTACACCAAAGAGTATCGGACTTTGTAGCCTGATAATAATAAGCGACCATGGAAACTGTTAGAAACGTATTTTTTTTAATGTCCCATACAGAGGCGCATCAGTCAATTCTTCCCCAATATCATATGATACTTCGTGAAATGAGTGCAGAAGGAACTTACTTATGCATAACAAATAACTCTGGCTGAACAAACGCCTCCGAGTAAATTCTCATGGAGGTAACGATACAATCGTTCGCCCACGCAATTGTTACGGTGTCCAACAGATCGTCGATGTTGATATTATCCAAACCTCCATGCGGTGTATCTAGCTGATCTCTGTTACTGCAGACTCCTATTTTCTCTAGAGTATACGCTGCTAAACCAGCTGGAGAATCGGTTAGTGCTACCCCTGTAAATTGTAATTAAAAAAAATTTAAACCAATAATAAATAGGACCAAGAGCGAAGTGTGTGTGTCAGACCGTTATCTACATGCCGTGACCCGTTTAAAACAATTTTCATATGTAATGTAATTTTTCGTATCATACGGACGACGAATACTCATAAACGTTTTAACTTTTGGGTACGGAACCCTGAAAATGTAGCTGCTGATACGATGACAAGAGACATTAACAATCTTATCGTACAATATTATTGCAACATACGAAAAATAATTATTATGACGACGACACTTACCAACTGTATCGGGTTTCGTGGCTTGCAAATGAAAGTAACCACTTTCACGTAATAGGTAACTAAAAAATTGTTTCAAAGGATATATTCTGCTGACAAACTTCTCTTCCATGAAGAGGCTTGGGAATAGTGATCCTAGGAAGAATTTTACAAGACTTATTGGTCTCGAGGACACTGGCATATTGATGTGGTATCTGAAATAATGTTTCACGGGTTTAAATGCTGTGTGGCCATGACTGCATACTTGCATTATAGAACAAAGTCGCTTTTTCTGTCCCTATGTATCTAAGCTAAATTTTTAAAACTTCGCAACTGATTTTGATGCTTTTTTTTACATAGAATGATTTAAGATGAAGGTTTTTGTTCACAGTTTTACTGTGGTGTATTTAGTATCAGTATTGCACCCAAGCGAAGGGACCGGTCGCTAGCTTAAAAAATACTCGAATTTTACGAATTGAACACTTTTTTAATCTTTTAATCAGCTCTGTATGTAGACTGACATAAACATCATCATTATCCTCCCTTATATCTTCTTTGTTCCCTAATTAAATTAAATTATTATTTAAATCACCCCAAAACTTCCTCGGGAACAAATGTCGACATATGGGTGGCGGATTGCGAACCCCAATCACCGGCTTGTATGTAATATTTCTTGAATCCTAGGCGTCTCATCAGATTGCTCATAATGGTTCCAATTTGTAATGGATTTAAACCAGGCTTGTTTGTTCCCTGAAATTTATAATTGATCAGTAAAATTTCAAATAGTTTGGAACGAACCTTAAACAATTAAATTAAAGTGCGCGAGAGCAGAACTGCAATAATTTAGAGGAAAAATGAAGAGATATATAAAAAAAACATTAATGCTTATAAGTTAGGTGTTAAGTTATCGGTAATAAAGCGAACAAATTTTGGACTCCATTAATACGATGCGTTATTTTTTTTAAGTAAAGTAAAAAGGGCATTTCTATAGCGACGAGAAGGTAGACTATTCCAAAATGTTCCTCGATATTAGAACGTCCTCGTGATCCCCGAATTATTCTGCACAAGCCATTTAAAGTTTACCACCGTATACATTTATGCATGCAGCCTATTTATATATTTTTTTATATCTCCATCGAATGTCATAATAAAAACAAAGAGTGGTAAAAAAAAATACTCACCTGAGAAAATCCGAATCCAGGTAGATCAGCCGCGATAACTTCGAAAACGAAATCGAAGTCATCTCTGGGCTTTGTCAAGATCGGTATAACCATATCGAACTCCTTCGAAGAACTGGGCCATCCGTGCAACATCAACAATGGCAGTACCTTCTTTCCTTTGACCTCTGGTTTCGCGTGAATATAATGAATGTCGAGACCCTGTATTCTCGTTTTGTAATGTGGAAATCTATTCAGTCTGTCGGCTCTCTCCGTAAAGTTGTACTCCTTCAGCCAGTATTTTATTATTTTCTCTAAGTAGACGGTGTTTATACCATATTGCGACTGCACACCTTCCAAAGGTTGTCTGAATGGACGTCTGTTTTTTAAACGATTCTTTAAATCCGCTATCATCTAAGAAAGTAATGATTTGGTTAATTTTTTAATATAATTTCTTATTAAATATCTTTATAAAATCAACATGAGGGAAATACATACTAAGTAAGTCTGAATTACGAGCTACTCGCTTGTGAAAAAACGGGCCAGTGAAACACACAGAAAGGTGTATTTGCCCCATGCCCCACGGGAAGTGCGGGATTTCACTTTTATGTGATGTGTTACATAATACAAATGTGCCAAAAATACTATTTTTTATTTTTGTAATATAATGAACTTACGCTTTCATTGAAAACAATTTTAAAAGGTCGTATAGATTGGTCTTCTTTATCTGGCTTTTGTCCATCACCCCACCATCTTTGGAAGTCCATTTTTGGCATCTCGGGTACACTTTCGAGGTAAAACTTTACTCCGACAGCCACGCCTAGGGCAATAACTGCCGTATAAAAGGCAAACGCTTTGAACATCTGAAATGTTGACATATGTCTTGAGATACACAAATAAAGTTAATTTAGAAGAATAATAAAGAATTAACATAACATTAGGTAATGATTTTCAGTCGGCACTTTTTACATTCTCATCTTATTTAATTATTTATCTACATATATATTCCGGTTTTCGTTGTTACAGACCGTTCGCGAATGTTAATACTGTCATAAAGACTTGTGTAAACATCATTCGTATATATGTATATATATATTTGTCCCACTGCTGGGTTCCCGTTCCTGGAGTTAATAGCTGAGACCCAAAGACACTGTCCCAGCGTAGGCAGGCTTGAGACGCAAAGGCCCCAATTTTCAATTTTCTTAGAAAGTTTAATATGGTACTAACATTTAACCCGAGATCACTAACCACTAGACCAACGAGCAGTTATGTTTTACAGTATAACTATTACCTTAGTCGGTAACTTACCTTCTAGAGTAGATGAATTAAATTCAATTGTACCGGCTCATTTGGTTTTTTAATGAAAGGTAATCGTGTTTTTGTCGATATAAAAATGACCCGTATATACACTTATAGGGTACTGATATATTAATTGTATGAAGTTTAAATATTGTTAGAAGGTAGTAATTATTAAAAATTGAATGTTAAAACAGTCAATTTCAGTTAATGACTGAATAATATCCATCTACCTCCATAATAATAATTACGATAGCCTGACTAAGAGCTATTACAATTATTGTCACAATAATTATTTACTTTTTAATAATAGAAATAAAACGTGTTAGTGATTATGAGGAGTGGAATCTCTATTTATCAGAACACGTTTGTACGGTTACTTGTAGTAACAATTGTGCTACTCGGAAAATGTGCAAAAAATAACTCATAATTTGAGACATAATGAGATCAATATGCTAAATTGTCGTGCTGTTTTTTTTACCGTACGACTGCGGTACTTTGCGGGCGATGACCGCTGCGTATAGAGATTATTTTATTTAAAAGGAGGTCAAAAACTTTTTATATTTCATCGTCATCACTTTCACTATTCACTTGCACTTTTTATCGATATTAAAAAAAAAAACAATTTGTAGATCATACCTTGATTACACTAGCGTTAGGAGTATAATAAGCACTTTTACGTTAACGTGATTTATCAAAACAATAAGCACGTGCGTCTGCGCCGGCTGACGCCAAAATTGTACGAAGATTCAGATCGCACGTACGGAGAATCGCCGACACGAATAGTGTCTGTAGCGTATCTATGGACATCTACATTTTACAATTCGGCCTCGACCTTGTAGACACCGCTGTTACGTACATATACTAGAGATTATGATACTTAAATACTGTCTGTAGTTTACGCGAGTCATACACATGTAATAAATCACTTTAACTGTTTAAAACGCGAAATATATTAGTTAAACATATTTTCAAATTATTTTAACTACTTACTGTTCTAGTCTACCCGCGACCACGGCTGCTGCAATACGTCGGGCCTTTGTTAAAATAATTTGTTGTTAATTAAAATATTTAACGTTTTAAACCGTGGCATTATTTGTATCGTAAATACTTAAGATTTTGCGAAAAGTTTCTTATAGATTTTTAATGATATGTAGGACAAACTAGTTAGGGGGGGTTGATTAACCTTAACCATATAACATCTCGACATTGACACAATCAAAAAGGCCAAGGCGGTCTGTGAGAATTGGTATTTCATAAAATGTTGGGATTTTGCTTTTATTGATGCTACTGAAATTGTATGGATGGTTATTAAAAATTGATTATAAATAGAAAAAGAATACGACTCGGGCAGGACTTAAACCGGTATCTTCAGCGTTCCGTGCTGTTGCTATAACCAATTAAGCGACCGTCAAGAGTCGATTTTTTCATCTATTTCATGCACCTCTCGCGCAATGTAATTTCAACTTTAACACTTGCGTGTTAAGATTATTTTTTAATCGAATTCAATTTATATAGTGCCATCACGTTCAACTTTCAAATGCATTGGTGTTCTTAACCAAATCATTTTCTATTTTCAGATACGACCATCGTTTTTGATAGGCATGGAGTTTCCGTCCAAAGAGGCTGCTAGTGGTATACTGTCAAAAAAAAGCTTAAGTCTGGTGCGAGAAAGATGCAGTGAGGCAGTTTCGATGGCGCGTCCCGCGGAGGTCGAACCGGAAGGGGAAGCCCAGAATGCAATGCAAGCTTATATAAGAGCTCAGGCGGTCTCCGATAAGGTGAATAAGCCCGTTGTGACCACCTCTGTAGCTTTTGGAAATATCCAGTGGACAGTGGACGTTGGTTCAAAATTCCTACCACCCATATAATATTCAAATTTCTATAGAAGTCAAAAATGTTTTACAGTCCGTCGCCGATTGTGTAGAAGCTCTTATCGGAACATACCTTCTCAGCGGTGGTATACAAGGGGCTGCGCTGTTTCTTGAATGGATGAAGATTTTCCCTCCCCAGGTATGAAAAAATGTCTTTCGGTGATGTAATAAGTCTAGTCTAGCCTCATATTTATCCTTTTTTTTCTTATATACCTTATTTTTTTGTCTATAACATGTAATAACAGCTTATAAATAACAATTCTCGTAATGTTAATATTTGTTATCGCTTTCCGACAAACTACATATACATCAAAAAGGCATAGCTTTGAAATTAATTGATTTGGAATGTAGGTATGTAAACTCAAATTCATTTTTTTATATATATATTATTATTAGGTAGTAAGGCCTCGTTTCATTGAAATCATTGTTAATGCTGTAAAAAAATATCTCTTATTTTTAATATTTCTAATTTTTTTTCTAGGACGATTTCATGTCCTACCTTCACAAACCACAAATGACCATTTTACAAGAGAAAAAGGTTACAGAAGAAGAGATCAATCGTTTGTTGAACCACGAGAGGGACAGCATTGAAAAAATTATCGACTACAAATTTAAGGATCCCTCTTTTCTATTAGAGGTAGTTTTATTTTGTCACTATTGAACTCAATGCATTTGTATGTTTGTGTCTATCTAAACTAATATATAAAGCTGAAGAGTTTGTTTCTTAGTTTGAACGCGCTAATCTCAGGAACTACGAGTTCGAATTGAAAAATTATTTTTGTGCTGGTTAGAGCATTTATCGAGGAAGGCTATAGGCTATAAAACATCAACGCCGTGTGACTAATAGGAGCGAAGATACAGCGGGAAATGTGACAAAAATTGGGAATGTCCCCGACGCTGTATGTCTATCTTTTAAGATTATCCCGCAACAACGACGGGAAGGGACGTGACCGACGTCGCATAAAATAACTATTCCATGCGGACGAAGTCGCGAGCATGCATACCAGCTAGTGATAGATAAGATGCAATGGTTCAATTGTTTCGTATTTGTATAATTGTTCAACTAATCGTCAACGTCAAATGACATAGACCTCGGTCACAACGTACTTTACGGCATTTAGTGGAAATCAGACGGGAAAGTGTGTGAGGGATCGGTGGACCCCCACTCGTTGTCTAGCAGTGCCACTGCACGATAGCAAGCTAACAATAGTGAATCCCTCTTGTGTATTTTTAATTCTCTTTTTTTCGATTGACGCATCGCTGCTATATTATACTACATATCTTTTTTCTAGGCCCTATCGCACTCATCCTATATACGCAATCGGTACACGCGTTCCTACGAACGTTTGGAATTCCTCGGCGATGCTATTATAGATTTTCTAATAACCGCCCACATCTACGAGAACTGCGGGGACCTAAAACCGGGGGAACTTACTGATCTGAGATCATCTCTCGTCAATAACGTAACCTTCGCTTCGTACGTTGTCAAGTTAGGGTTGCACAAGTGAGTACATATTTTTTTATTGTATTGAGGGTAAAGGGGCGGAAACATCGCCTGATGTTGAGCTATACCTTCACCTTCTTTTGATGTTTACGTACGTCGTATCTGTTAGAAAATACAAATTGATTTGAAACTCGAGCCTAAGAGATCTTGGCGTTGAAAGTAAAAATAAATCACCATTATCAAAATAGCTTATTATTGAAGAGGCCTAGCGTAAAGTTCACTTGATATTAGTTGAAAAACTACAGCAATATATAATCTAAACGAGGCTGTCGACATACTTTGGTCATTAGCTAAGAATGTTTTGCTAATTTATTATAAATTTTCTGGGAACCATTTTACAAACAGTGGGTCTGTTCTAATAGTCTAAAACATTTTTTATGTCTACACACGTGTGCGGAATACATCTTTTTATTTTCAATAATGTTTAATTAATGTATATGAATGATAATGATGATCTATCTTAGTGTGTTAAAAATAGGCAAAATAATAATAATAAAAAAAACAATTATTTCTATACAGGTTCTTTTGCTCGGACTTGAACCCAACACTAGATGGCGCTATATTAAACTTCGTAGAGCATCAGGTACAGAGGGATCATAATATTGAGGAAGACGTGCTCTATCTTATAGACGAGGAGGATTGTCGTGTTGCTGAGTATATCGAAGTGCCGAAGGTAAATATACTTTAATACGCTTTTTAATCTGTCAAAAATCGGAAAGTAAGATAGGAATATCAAACTTCCGTCGGCGACACGAACCACATATGATAAAGCTGTGAATAATAAAATCGGGTTTTGGTTACATTAACCAAAGCAAAAATGATCATCCCTTGTTTCTATATTCTTATCTATCTAGTAGATTTATACTATTTAAATAAAACACTTTAACGGTTTAAACCGCGATATATTAGTTAAACTTATTTGAAAATGATTTTTTACTTCGGCCCGACGTTTCGGATACATCGGCAGCAGCCGTGGTCACGGCTATAAGTTTAACTAATATATGGCGTTTTAAACCGTTAAAGTGTTTTATTTAAATGTGTACTACTCGCGTAAACTATAGACAGATTTATACTAGTCCTGTATAATAATCTCAAGAAGTTGGGTCTTGATTACACTTTAATTAAAGGGAAACTCTAAAGTTCTATTCTTAATTTGGCTTTTCGTTTAATGGCTCAGTCTACTTGTAAAGTTTTTAGTATTTTTTTTATCTGTTGTATATATTTTATACACTTTATAACTATTTTTAAATTTTTCTCCGCCAGGTGCTAAGTGATATATTCGAGTCTTTGGCCGGCGCCATCTACTTGGACAGTGGTGGTAATCTATCGACTGTGTGGCGAGTTGTCTATCGAATAATGTGGCGGGAGATCGCCGTGTTTTCACAACGCGTACCGAAGCAACCAGTGCGCGTGCTGTCTGAGAATATTTACGCATGCGCAGTCTTTGGGTGAGTTTGCCTAAAATTTATGAAACGAATAAATTAAAAAAAAAGTTTTTTTTAATCAGCTGGATATAGACAGGTGTTAATTAACATACCCAAATCATTAAGTGGAAGGGGCAACAATCAATATTTCACTTTGTAATCAATAACTAACCCATAAAGTCAGGGAATCTTTTATCAAAATAGAGTGAAAAACATTTTAAAAAGAAAAATAATAATTGACTGTTATCAAGTGAGATGAAAAATGATGATATTACTAATATAAGGGTTGGTGATAAAATAGGTTATATAATGTCTTTAATGCCACATTATAGTCAAAAATTATATATATAGTTTACGCGAGTAGTACACATTTCTATAAAACACTTAACGGTTTAAAACGCGAAATAATAGTAAACTTATTTGAAAATTAAGCCGTGGTCTTGGAGAGACGGCTGCTGCAAAGCATCCGAAACGTCGGGCCGAAGTTAAAAATCATTTTGAAATAAGTTTAACTAATATATCGCGCTTTAAACCGTTAAAGTGTTTTATTTAAAAGATTTACTCTTGATCAGTGATGTTTACTAAAAATCACCAATAATACTTGTGTCATTTATTATTATCAGATTTAATTTTAGGCTTAGAGCCTTGGCGCAACCCAATAATCAACACTGTTTTCTTTTTATAGCGAAGCGAAAGAAACACCTGACTCATGTATCCCAAAAGTTATGATACCTGTCACGTTCTCAAAAGACGGCAAGAGGCATACGACGTACGGCGTTGGATCTAACAAGTCGCAAGCCAAACGCGCCGCAGCAAAACTTGCACTTAAAATACTCGCTTTGTAAATTCATGAATTTTTTATGTATAGATTTATAAGCAATAGTCTACGAAAGAAAGAAGATTTTTTTTCTTTTATTCTTATTTTAACGAGTACTAATAGATGTAATTATATTTTATTTTAAAATCTCTTCCGACAGCCCTAGTCACAAAATTATATGCATACAATGTTTAAAGATGATTATTTTTAAAATACTTTAATGTTTCTGTTAAAAGTTTCGTCGTTTTTCGTTGCTTGATGTCGTCTGTTTAAATCTTATTACACATTATATAGACGCAAAGCTAATTCGTTATATATACTATAATTACAGTATTATATGGTATTATCAAACTGTTTTTCTAAATTATTGCCAGCTGTGTGAGCTCCTACATTCATTATATATCATGTATTAAGACGGGCTCGTAAGTGTAATCGTAGCAATGTATTGCTAGTACTCAACGGGTCGTGGGTTCGATCTTCACTGGGTCCAACATTTTTCAAATTAATTTATAATTTTTTGAAATTTGTTGGACTTCGTCTGTAGGTGGTAGGAATATCGGAATTCGATTCGGGAAGCACAGGTCACAGATAAAGCCGTCAAGTAAAATCGCGTTTCAGTTTCAACCTGTGGATTTCTGAATATCGAAAGCCAAAATACACAACATAGGTCGATAGCGCTTCTCGTTTAAATGATATATGGCTGGGGTATTTTACCTACCTTCAAATGAACTCTATGCTTGTCCTATATTATTAAAAAAAAATGTATTCTAGACTGCCAAGGTAGTAGTAGTTTTCGGTATCGAATTTATTAGTTAAGGCATTGGTTTAAGATAAAAAATGAAGTACAGCGTAATCTCACTAATCCGGCACTATTAAAAACCGAAGGGTGCCCCGGATTATTGGAATGAAACCACGTGCAAAGAGCGTTTTCCATCTTTTTTTGTTTATGCTTTGCCGACTTTTAGTGTTTTATGCTTTCCTGGCCCCGATTCCATTCTCTTGACACAGTCGACTATCTTGTGCCTTTTCTAGTCTAACCTGTGCAGTCTAGGCAAAAGAATATAGTGTTGGGCGTGCTACTATACACGAAGCGCACAGGTATAGAGGGGCACAGGAGGCGTGGGAAGAGGGTGCCGGATTAGTGAGATTACACTGTAAATATAAATGGTTAACCTTTTTTATATGATAAAGTATCCGTTTTTATGGCATAATTAGTAACTTGTCACAAGGATATATTATAGTCTCAATTAATAAATATTATTTTTATATACCCTCTGCTTTTATTTACACCAGTTCCGAAGTATTCAATTTAATTGAAGATTTATTGTTATAATTATTTGTACTTGAATTACTTTAAACTTTTGACTTATAAAAAAATAATGTTTAATAATAAAAACGTTAGAGCCTTGTCAGTAAGTTGAAACACTTTTTACTCTGAACATACCTTTTCTTTATTAGTAGGATTGAAAATTCTTTTACACACGCTAAAAGGTGTCCCCACTTAACACCATTTCGTGAATGTTGTTACCCAGGCTCAGAATGCCGCCCTCTGCTGACTGGAAACGTGCCTAGAACCTACCTACCTTAAAACATTGTTGATAACTGGTTCAGTAAATGTAACATTTTAAGAAAGAAACAGTGATCACTTTGAGGTAAACACAATAATCTTTAAGCCATGAGTTTGTTCTAAAGCAGTCATTATTGGTAAATGAAACAAAGAAACTCCATGTTAAATGGGTTTTATTATAGTTAGCAATAAAATTACAAGAAGTAAGTGCTGGGTCTCTTGTAGGCGAAGGTGTTGAGTCGCTTGTGGTGGTGCACACGTTTGGGTAGAGGGAACCTGATGCGACTGTTATGGAACTGCTTCACTTGTGGTCTGCGGCACGCGGCTGCTTTGATTACTTCCACTTTAATGATCTGGAATTTATTGTTTTATAAGATAAGGCAGACAAAAATAACAAACAAAAAAATTTAAAAAAAAATCAATGACTTATTTAATTAAATATGTGTGTGAATAAAAAATGAAATGAAATAGTAACCAATTTCTTTTGTACCTACACTACATAAATTGGTTATGTATTAAATAATAGCATAATGTATATCATTATGCAATACTAATTTGAGATCTCATCTCTCCAAGTAAATCCATATTGTCTTAAGAACTTAGCATACCTGAATGGAGTGTGCCCGAGCTCTGTGCCTTGCACCCATATCACGGTAACATTGTGTCACTGCACCACCTACAGACAGGTCTCTGTACTCCCTGTACATGTTGTGTACTCCAGATCTGGATTCATAACGTAACCAGATACCAAAGTTCTTGATTTTAATTGGGCTCTTCTCAGGAATTTCCTACAAACCAGTATATATATGTTAATATTCATGCTATTAACTCTTTTAAACTTTACTAAATGTTTAAGCATAAAATATTAAAATCTAAAGCCATATATTAAAAATAGGTAACAGCACAACAACTTATAGTGCACTGCAATACTTTGGGGCTATTGAAATATAATAGAAAATTAATGTAATTATATGTGTTTTTAAAGAATTTTAATTTCATTCATTGAAAAATGTATAAGCTTTAAAGTTAAGCACTATTTTCTATATAACTAACCCTGACAGAGACAATTTCTCCCGTAGTCTTCTTAAACTTCTTCAATTGCCTCAAGAAGTACCAAAAGCGCGACTTTGCCACGATTTGGTCAGGCGAGAAGATTCTCATTTTATACAGTGGCGGTTTGGGCTCACTGTCCGATGGCAACTTGCGGCCAATAACTTCATATTCCTTCAACTGAAATGTGACCAACTATTTAGAACGTATTCTCTTTATTTTAACATTATCAAAGATTACATTAGTGAAAGAGTGATGAAAACACGTAGCTGGTAAACATCAAGCAACATGATATAACCTATAAATTGTATTTTTATTTCTTTTCTTAAGGGTAAATAAATGATAATATGTTGGAAAAATAAGAAAAGTCGCTTTAGTGGTTTTTATTTTATTGAATCAGGGGAGTAATTGGTAAATAAGTAACAAAATTAAAACTAAATCATGACAGCCGCAACGTGTACGGGCCAAACATCGAACAAGATTAGTTAATTTCTCACTTGTGATTTCAATAAAACACAATTCACTTTTGTCTGTAGAATTAGAAGATCGTAGCACAAACATAAGCGTTAATATTCACAAGAATAATTTTAATAACAATAACTTACCTCGCCTTTAGCCTTCATTTTTGGAGATTTTAGCTAAAAAGAACTGTCAACGGAAACGGAACATGTAAAAGAAAGATGGCATTCGGTACCACAGACAAACCATAAGAAACAAACTGTTAACTGTCGAGTGTTGAGCAGTATTATGCTAACAGTAATAATTTCCACAGAGTGGCCTTTATGTTACCTGTGTGTGTCAATCTGTTGGTTGTCAAATGTCATTTATTTTGTGAACTTGACCTTGTGACTTCAAGTTGTGATTTTATTATTCCACTAAGATTGCACCACTAGTTACAATACTTACGAGTTGTCCCTTTTAGAGAAAACTTAAAAATGTTGAGATTTTACAAGAAGACGAATTAAATAGAATGATGTTTACTAGAAACGTGTCACGAGTAGTTAAGTACGGGCTTTATGGAAGCGTAGCAATAGGTAGTGGTGCTTTTGTTACATCGATTTACCAAGATGATTATGATTCCCTACCTATCGTGAGACATACAAGAGCAGCCCGTACTGCACTAGAAATTGGCCAGATGTACAAATCAAAGCTCTACAGCAAAGACTGGGATAAAAACTCCCAAGAATACTTGGAGGTAAAAAGTGAGGCACACAAATTGGGAGCAGAGAAACTGCTTGAGTTATGTAAAACTAACAAAGGAGTGTACATCAAAGTTGGTCAGCACGTCGGCGCCCTAGAATACTTGTTACCTAGTGAATATGTGTCAACAATGAAAGTTTTACATAAGGATGCACCAAAGAATTCAGTTGAAGAACTTTACAAAGTTATTAGAGATGATTTAAAACAAGATGTAAGAAAGGCTGTAGTTTTATTATTTAAAAGTTGAAAAATAATTATCTACCAGTTGTATGTTATCTATATACATAAATGAATCAATTATACATTAATTGATATTCACATTCATTAATTAATTTATTCATATAAAAATAATGATTAACCGCTTTGTTGTATTTCCATTTCAGCCCACTGAGATTTTCATTGAATTTGATGCAGAGCCTCTTGGCACTGCCTCACTAGCACAAGTTCACAGAGCAAGGTTAAAGGATGGCAGAGAAGTTGCAGTAAAAGTACAACATCATTATGTTCGAAAGAACACTAGTATAGATCTGCGATGGATGGAGCTGCTAATCAATATTATGTCAAAGGTTTTCCCAGATTTTCAAATGCAATGGCTGGTGGATGAAACTAAAAAGAATATAGCCAAAGAACTTGACTTTCTAGAGGAAGGAAAGAATGCTGAAAGAGTTGCTGAACTATTTAAACATTATACCTGGTTGAAGATTCCAAAGATTTTCTGGGAATACAGTACAGACAGGGTTCTTGTAATGGAGTATGTTACTGGTGGACAAGTCAATGATCTTAAATATATAGAGGTATATCTCACAAAAAGTATTTCTTAGTGTAGTGAAGACCCCTTAATTACTATTATTATTTTCTATTGGGGACACCTGTAGAAGGCTGGGTGATCAGTCTGGTGTGGACTGCTCAGCTGACCATACCACCCACACCCACGCCCTTAAAAACTGTACAAGCAACTGATTTTCTTAAAATTACTTTTTATAAATTTAAGCATGCTAATAATTGTGTTTATTTTAGAAAAATAACATCAGCAAAGTTGACCTATGCACAAAGATAGGAGATTTGTACTCGCACATGATATTTGTTACTGGTTTTGTGCACAGTGACCCTCATCCTGGTAATATAGTTATACGGAAAGAGCCGGAGGACAAGGATGTAACCGTAATTCTATTGGATCATGGTTTATATGCAGTAAGTACAAACATTTTAAAGAGATTTTACTTGTATGTTCAAAATAAGTAATATAAAAATCTTATAAACTTGAGCATTCATGTAATGGGCACTCTTGCATATGTGAAAACTAATGGAAGTGCTGTTCCAAGAATTCTAGCAAAGACTATATAAATAGGAAATAGGCTTTGCATTTATTTTAAAATCCAGGCCAGTATCAATAATAATATTATGTCAATTGTCTTTCAGCAACTTACTGACAAATTCCGCTACCACTACTCTAAGCTATGGCTATCCATAATCGCTAGAGATAAAGAGGCTATTAAGTTTTATTCGGGGAAATTAGGTATTAATGAGGACTTGTATGGATTGTTTGCATGTATGATAGCAGGAAGACCATGGGATGTTATTATGAAGGGAATTGACGTAACAAAACCATCATCGGAAGAGGTAATACCATAATAAATATATTTGCAAATTCATCGTTATAAGGATATTTTAATTATTTAATAATGGCAATATATTTTGTAGAATTGACTACCTTTGAGGAACTTTATGCTATACTTCCTTTATACTATTGCAGAAAAAGACATTCCAAAAAGAGCTACCAAACTTTTTACACCGTGTCACTCAATGCTTAGAACATGTTGATCGACAAGCATTATTAGTTATGAAGACGAATGACCTAATACGAAGCATTGAGTATTCATTGGACATGCAGGAGAGGATGTGTGGTTTCATGGTTATGACCAAATGCTGCACAGAGAGTATATACAATCTTGAACTAAAGGTAAATTGTGTATTGTTTTAAAGGCTATCGTTCAGCATATCATTGTTTGTCGGGCTGTTCGGCCGTGTACGAGAAGACATTCTCGACGTTTCGCCATCATGAGCGGACGGAATCATCAGGAGATGTTGTTAGCTCCTCAAAAAACGATGATATGTTGAACTAAGGTATTTGTTTGTTTATACTTGTAAAAACACAGGTGCTATGCCTGTTTCTCATCAAAATCGTGTTGTATGATTGGAGAGACCTACCATGTTGGACTCTTATTTTAAAGGTACATTTTTATAATGTTCTCGGGTATACCTATTGTAATATACCAGTTTCCTCAAAGTTTTCCTTTACACGAGAATATGTACCATTGTTGTACAATGTAACCTTGATCCTATATTAGTATTCATGTTGAGTTGTCTCCAATCTGCGCATAATACGAATTATATTTGGAAACATACCTTGTGATTAGGAGTAATGCTTCCAAATCTCAATCATTTTGCCGCCCGTCAATACTAAAAAGCTAATTCTTTTTTTTTCAGACCGAAAAGTCACAAGTGAAACGACAACTTTTAGGCGTAAAATATATGTGGTCCCTCTTCGTCCTATATTTGTATTCAATATATTTAGCTATACGCGAAAAATGGAATATGTTCTTGTACCAAGCAAGTTGTTGTGCCTCATATTAATTGTTAACCCACCAAAGTACTCATAGAAGGAATTATTTCATAGATGCTTTTAAATTTACTATTTTTGTACACAACTTGTAGCCACAATACTTTTGATAACTTTTATACTAGGGACTTGAAGCTCGTAGAATAGCATACTATGGTGCACAGGAAGTTCTAATTAATATTCATGGTTGTGGTTGCGGCTTGAGAGGCGTATTACATTTTGCTAGTCACGCTTGATACAGCATACCTCTTCAATGAAACGGGAAAAATAACCGTTCTATAGTGAATGGACTGTATATAAAATAGATTTTATACATACGGATTTAAGCATCATGTTGTCACTATGTTAATGACGTAGATAATTTATTTGTACAGTTTTGTTGGAAATAAATATTTTATTTTTATTATGTCTTTCTTTGGTACAGCGGTACAAAGTTCAAACGTGAATTTTGTTCTCCAAGTTTGACAGTTTGTTGCTCAGCACTATGAGGTCATTTTGTATCTTTAGCAGGATGTTGGTGAAGTTGTCTCTGCTTTTCCTTCCGTGTAGTTTATAGAAAAGCGATGACGATGATATCTTGCACGATATTTCCGATGCTTTGTGCTCTGACAGCGTGTCAGGGAGGGTTGCGTACCTCTGACACATATTGATTGCTGTTGTTTTATTTGATAATGTCTGACCTGGAACTGAAGTAGGTGTAACTATACTCTCCGTAACAAACCGACCTATTTGATTTACTAGTACTACTAACCATCTGATTTTCCACTACTATCATTGTTAATTTTTTCTTCAAATTCACTATCACTCGTCACATTACGATTAATTATGGTGCTACCTCCCATTGTTATCATATTGTTATGGAATGCTGTTGAAGTTGTTATAAGTGGAGTCATTTGCATATAAAGAGTTAATTTATTAGCCGCGTTGATAATCTTTTTGAAGTAGATAATGAGAGATTAAACTGCTTGTGTCGAAATCAGACCCAACATAGACCATCATTTAAAAAATATCAAAGGGATCCATTATTCATTTGCACGCCCGCATATATTTTAGGTCAAATTAGATACTAGGTCTGGATCTGGAGGCAATATAAGCATGGATAGGCATACACAAAGCAGAAACTGTTAAGCTTTATAAACTATGGAAATAAATGCAATGAATACACTGTGGTTTGTTGGGGTTTTATACCCACCATCACGTGAACCCCAAGCTTGACTGTTCTCATCGTAAAAAGATACAACAAAAGGTTCCTTACGCTGTACATTTTCTGGTAACCAGACTTCTAACGTATAAGGATGTTGAGGATTGTTCCCCCTACGCAATTCAGTTAGCGGTAGCTCTTTACCATCCTCTGTACTCAGTTTTATGACTTCCTCGCAATAATCGGGTAAGTCGAGGAGGTGCCATACCTTGTTTCGGAGCATGGAAATTGATGCCGTGGGTTTCACGGCAATATAATGTAGTTTATTATCAGACACTGGAAAAAATCTAATCCTATTATTAGGTACTATTACATGCTCGATTGTTTTTAACATCAAACAGTTTATGTTGGCCAATGAAATGACGTAAAATGTTCTGGAAAGCTTTATTTTTATAATATGATCAATAAATACTTATACATCTTTAAAATAGCCCAGTATATAGGTTCTTCAGTGACCATTCTATTTTATATCATACTCAGGACCGGAGGCATCGTTCCACAACTTAAGAGCGGAGGGATCGCGCTTAGGTAAATGTCTCAGTTCTATTTCCCATATAAGCGAATTTTTTTTTTATAAATTTTCAAAGGACTTGCAAATAGCCGGTTATACGATTAATTTATTGTACTATATGTATCGATGGTACCTCCATTTATTAGGATATTAAACTTTTAAAATACTGACCTCCCAAGTCGTGTCTTCGAATAGTTAAAAATGTTATAACATCCTTCTTGAATAATTTGCTAGGTGCCTTCAATATTTTAATAAATGACATCGCTAAAGAAATTTTAATTACAATTCATACGAGGAAAAGCAAGTTAATATTTTTTAAAGCATGATCACAAAAACTCAACCTTTACCGTCATTATTTATTTAAATCTTTAACAGTAAAAAATATAAAATACATAGTTTTGAATATGATTGCGTGGTTTTCTCGCAACATTTGACAATTCCGATAGTAAGTTATAATTTTTTAAATGTCATTATACGTTCTAAAGATTATGTAAGGTATGTCGTGTTGACTATTTTTAAGTTGTTTAAACAATGCTAAATTGGGTCAAAACAAACGGCGATATTAAATATATTTCGGGTTTCCTGTTTAGGGTATACTACCTGGTCTTATAGACAGGAATTAGTCATTTTTTGTAGCTTCTAGTGCAAACCACAGGGATTGAAAGAATACCCATTGCCATATTTCAACGTAGGGATAAAACACTAATCCATGCGTGTTATTAACTGTGCAGTTGTCTGAAAAAGCAAGCACATAATGACCATAATCCTAATATATAATGATTAAAAATGTAAGCAAAAAAGCACTTATTGTGTTTTGTTAACAAAAAAGACTGTGGTTGTTTTTTTAATTGACACAGCATATGACTTCTTTAATAGTCTCTACTTTATACTAATATTAGTAAGTTAAATAGTTTGTTTGTTTGAACGCGCTAATCTCAGGGACTAAGTACCTACTGGTTCGACTTGAAAATTTATTTCTGTGTTAGTTAAAACATTTATCGAGAAAGGTTATAAAATATCACGCTGCCACCAATAGGAGCAAAGAAACTGAGGGAAAATGTAAAAAATAATGATATGTTTTAAGAATAGCTAGAAGAACGACAGGTCGCGAACGACGTCGTAGTTAACAGCTATAATTTATACGGATGAGGAGGAGGTCTGCAAAATCAAATTTTGACACCCAAAATAACTAATCTATGCGGACAAAATCGCCGTCACTGCTAGTACCCACCATATAATACAAATATTTAAAGAAGTCATGTGCGGTGACCAAATAGAAAAAAAAACGAAAATAATGTTAAAATGAAGATATAAAACCTAAAACCTATCTTTAAAAGGAGGTTGGTACATAAATTAGAAATCATTTTTTGACAGATTTTCCTTACACTTATGTTTCCTTGACTTACTTTTTTCTAAAATCCTTGATATCTCGTGAGGTGTCATGAATTTTTCATAATCATGAATGCCTTTAGCTGCACCTTTGAAGACATTTTCCAACATGAAAATTTCGATTTTCGAGGTTATCGTTTTATTTGGTGCTGTTATAAAGATTTTTCCTCCCGGTTTCAATGTTTCTATGCATTGCTTAAGAAATAAATCCTTATTTGCGACATGCATTATCACTTCGGAAGCTATGACCGCATCGTAGTAGTCACGATATTTTTGGGCGTGAACCTGAAATTATATTTCAGTTAAATAAAACACTTTAACGGTTTAAACGTTTAACTAATATATCGATATTAGTTAAACTCGTTCGTTAAAGTGTTTTATTTAAATGTGTACTACTCGCGTAAGGTATAGACAGTATTTTATATTTCAGTTGTTGCATGTTTTATTCAAATTTTAAATACTAAAGACCCCGACGCGTTACGTGACTAAGTCTAAAAAAGTTATCACTTTTAAAATACAAAATTGACCTCACGGACCTTGACGTTTGTGCCAAAGCATCGACGGGCACGTTGGTCTAATGGTAGCAATTTATGGCTAATCAATGGATCGTAAATTCGATTCTCACGTGGTCCAGCATGTTTCGAAATAATTTATAATTTTCCTTAAACATGTTGGACTTCGTCTGGAAATCTGGATATTAAATGGGTCATAGAAATATCGAATTTCCATTCGGGTTACGAACGAAGATGTTATATGGCACAGGTATTAACTTCAATGAACCCTATGCCTGTCTGCCCTCTTCAATTATGAAAAAAATAAATTCAAAATAGTTACTGGAGATCCCTAGATGCCAAATTTTATATACATAAAAGATTGACCTCAATAGTTGTACACAAATAGGTCGGTTTATTCTCTGCTACTTTCGGGTAAATGTTGCTGTGTTCTTTGGCTAAATCAACCAATTCTTGACATGGATCAATTCCCGTTACAACTGCCCCGACTTTGGCTAAACCCTAGAAAAAAATAAGCAGTCAATAGCATAAGAAGCTTTTCAATTATAAATGTTTATTCCATGAAAGTTACCTCACTAAGAATACCGCCTCCACAACCAACTTCCAATATTTTTTTATCTGCTAGAGGATGTGGTGACTTTCTTATTTCGGGTTTTGATATAAGGCCGTTAATGATGTAGGGGACTCTGGAAGAAGGTAGGCTTATAAATAGTTTAGTTATTTTTATTACCTACTTCTATTAATAAGAAGAATAAGAAAAACAGTAAGTAATTTTACGTGGACGAAGTCGCTGTCACAGCTAGTTTATTATATTTATAATTTTTAAAGGAATACCTGCGATGATTCAAGCTGTGTAAAGTCACACAACGACCGTGTGGATCCCATACAACATCTTTCAACATTTTATGCTTATTTATTTCTTCTTCATCTATAGTTGTTAGGGTGTTATTATGTTGTACCATCGTGTATTATCTCTAGAAAAAGTAACGCCTATCCATTATTCAAGTTTAAAATTAATATAAAATAATTTTAAAACTAAATACTGTCTATAGTTTACGCGAGTAGTACACATTTAAATAAAACACTTTAACGGTTTAAAACGCGATATATTAGTTAAACTTATTTGCAGCAGCCGTGGTCACGGGTCTCCCCGTGACCACGGCTGCTGCAAAGCATCCGAAACGTCGGGCCGAAGTTAAAAATCATTTTCAAATAAGTTTAACTAATATATCGCGTTTTAAACCGTTAAAGTGTTTTATTTAAATTTTAAAACTTTAATATTTTTCACATATTATTGCACTTGATATAATTGTGAGTTATAATTGGTAGGTATATAAAAAAATACTTACTGAAAGTAGTTATCAATATGAATTGCACTGTACAAAAAATAACGAACGAGCACCCCACAGTAAAGATATTAAAGAATAAAGACATAAACGTAATAATAAAACATAAAACTATGATCAAATGTCGGTAATGACGTAAAATAAAAATCAAGGACAAAGTGTAGGTATGTATGTGGTACTATATGAGAGAAAAAATATAAGACTGTGAATTTATTTATTAATAATTTACGCTTGTTTCAACCATTAGCCTCATATAGTTCTAATATAAGAAATGTACATGTTTGATTTTGTTTTTTTTTACTAACTTTCAACGGATTAAAACGCCAAATGTATTAAAAAGTCTGAAAAAGCAACCGGCGCTTCTTCGCTTGGTTCTGTGCTGTGTTCTATTGAACCATGAGTTGATAATATGTAACAAAAGCACAAAACATTTGCACTTGAAAAATTAGACTTTTTACTTCTAATCAGCTAGTTTCGTTGCAATGAGGCTATACCAGACGCTTTGGAAAAACATCCACTGCCACTGCTTTAAGAATGGCAAATAAGTGAAACCGTATACACTATCTACCTGGCAATTTTCTGAAAGAAAAAGAATGGTCGTGACTTTCTAGATCAAACAAGGCGTCAACAAGGTACTGACGCCACAACTATCTAAAGAGTACGCAAATACACTTTTATCAATTACTAGCTGTGCCCGCGTTTTCGTCCGCGTGGAATAGTTATTTTGGGCAAATTTAGTTTTTGTAAACCTCCTCAACTTTATAAATTATAGCTGATTTCCGCGTCGATCGTGTACCGTCGTTCTTGCAAGTTAATCTTTAAATATAGACGTATACAGTCGCGGACATTATTTTAGATTATTTAAAGAGGAATCATTCTTTTATACGTATTTTTTGGGTATCTTGAACCGTTTTCGTAGCGCACGCAAGAAGAAGAAGAAGAAGCCATTAAATCTAAATAATTTTCCCCGTTTTATCCACATTTTTTCTCTTATATTACCTGCAGCATGATGTTCTAGCTAAATGCTCTAAAGTCTTCCTAGATAAATGCTCTGCTCAGAGCATAAGACAAAAATAATTTTGAAATTCAAACCAGTAGTGCCTGAGTTAGCCCGTTCAAACAAACAAGATCTTCGGCGATATAATATTAGTACTTTTAGATTTGTTAAAAGTTTGTATGTACTAGTTGGAAAAATATTTAACCGGATTAGAATATAACCGTTTCGAACACTTAATTTCATTTTTTTTACTTACTCTTATTAAGCATTGCTGTGACGTCAGGTGTAACGAATTTTTTTATATCGTGGAGTCCCTTCTTAAAAATTCTTAGGACTTCCTCAAACAGAAAGATTACGATGAAATGAGAGATGAATGAGAGTCGCGTTCTGTTCGCTGTTGTGATGAAGATCTTTCCTCCAGGCTTAAGTGTATCGACGCAAGAGTTGAGAAATAGTTCTACATTCGCTACGTGCTCTACAACTTCGGAAGCTATCACGATATCGTACTTGTTCGGATATTTCGATGCATATTCCTGAAAATTTTATATGTCAGGTAAAAATGTTGAGCTAGGTAACGTTGTTTAAAATTTTAATTTTTGCTCATGTATGTTTTTTATGTCGTAAGAAGACCTAACCGAAGCTAGAAGTTAGCTATAATAGTCTTTTGTAACTTATTGACAATGTATCTTTTCCTTTTTTAAAGTAGTTAGTAATCTAGTGTCTGTGTGTTCATGGTCCCACCTCTATTATTGTACCTATAAAGATATGTTGGTTTATTTGCAGCAACTTCAGGGTCTGTGCTACTTATGTTGCTATGTTCTTTTGCCATATCAATTAGTATGTTGCTAGCGTCAAGACCTGTTACCTGTGCTCCTGACTTTGCTAAAGACTGTAACGAGAATTTAATATTTTTTCAATTTTACCCTAGAAGAATAAACCAGAACGAATATATCACGAATTGAAAATCTTTACTTTGAATCCTTTAATGAGACTTGGATAATATAGATTAAAATTGGTTTTATTTTAAATCATATCTCTATCACGAATATATAACATACACAAAAATTATATTATTAGTACTTTTGATATTTAAGTAAGTAGGTATCTACCTCAGATAGCAGACCGGGCCCGCAGCCAACATCTAATATTTTTAAATTAGCCAAAGGTTTTGAAGCATTTTCTTTTTGTGCTAGTGAAAAACTACTCAATATCAAATCAAAATCAAATCAAAGTCAGTTCTGGAATAAGATTCATGTATTTTAATTTGTCGTTACTTTGTTCCTAGAACTAAGTTTTTGGATCTGACTCACCTGAATTTATTAAGACCGTGGAGGATTTTCTTACCTCCGGTAGGATCCCACCAATCTATAATTTCAGACAACTTTGCAATTTCACCATCATCTACTGTTGTTCCCTTGTTAGACATATTATAATTTTCCAAAAGTAAATTTAATTACTCGTGCCACGTCCGAGTAATTAAAAGAATTCTCGAATGAACTACACTTGTTTTTACAAGTGTAAACTCATATCTGGGGGGCTATTTTCAACAACGAGATAAAATCTTCGTGATAATCCTCTATATAAGATTCTATCTCTTTATTTAACTTCTGACACAGTAGGGGATATTTTGCAAAAAGATCATACTTGATTTAAGCTGACATAAGTTATTACCAAGTTTGAAAAATCGCCGGTGTTACAAGATTTGCGACTCATGTCGACGTAAAAAATATATCCGTTTTGTAACTGGCCCCCTACTGTGGTATTAAATTTAACAGATAGTGTGTACCTACTTTACTGATAACAGCGCAAAAAGTCTTATTGGTATTATCAAGGGATTTAGCACGAATTCATTATTTATTTATTATTTAATGCTTAGAGAATGCCTCTTCTTTGTAATATCACGCGTTAGTGAAGATGACATAATATATTAAGTACCAATTATATTATAAATATGACTGCTTGTTATTTTTCCAATTTACTTGTGACGTGAAAGTAAATAAAAAAATAAATACATACATAACATTAATGTTTTCATATCCTGCCATTAATAAGAAATTGTTTGAAAAAGTAATGAAACTATAAAAAACATTAAAAAAAAACTTTATTATCTTAATAATACTAATAATAGCTTGGCCTTATTGTTCTTCTGGGTTCAGTTTTACTGCTTGAAGACCAAACATTAGCGTTTTGTACCTAACCCACGTCCATCTGTCGATGAATGGATAATACATTATTCCGTGTATCAACTCCACTTGGCAACAATCTGAAAGTAAAAGTTTAATGTTATACGGTTATATTATTATACAATATTCATCTTTACATTAAAAAAACACTTTAAAGGTTTAAACGATGAGTATTAGTTCAAACTTGTTTCAAAATTATTTTAACCACGGCCTGGCGTTAAAATAATAATTAAATAAGGTATTTTGCGTTTCAAACCGTTAAAGTGTTTTATTTAAACGTGTACTACTCGCATAAAGTACAGACGGACCCTGATGAAATGCAAAATGTATGTGAATGCATATTAATAAGTACCTCATAATCACTGACTGTTTAAATAAAATTCTTAAATTTCAAATTATAAGTTTTAACGTATTGCAGTAGCAGATTATTAATACGGACATGTAAATATAATTTTATAATTAAATAATATTTTACTGATTAATAGTTATAGCAACAACAACCTATACATACTTCGCTCCAATAGAAATGTAACTTCATTAGGCGTCGTTAACTTTTCATATTGATGCGTTCCTTTTGGAAGTGTCTTGATGATATTCTCGGACACATAAATGCCTAACACTTGCGTCCATCGAGACCTATTTGGGGTAGTGATGAAAATTCGTCCACCAGGTTTGAGGGTAGCCACGCACGATTTGACAAATAACTCTTTATTTGCAACATGTTCTATCACTTCAGATGCAACAACAGCGTCATAGTAGTTCGGAAACTGCACTGCATGTTCCTGAAATAGTGAAATGTATGTATAGTATGCTTTCATTAAAAGTTATTACTTCAAAACACCTTTTCTACATTAATATGAAGATAAATAAAAAAATCTATTATGAATTGAAAAAATTACAAGGACAGGATGTGAACCGGCATCTACAGCGTGCCGTGCTGTTGCTCTAACCAATTGAGCTACCGTGTCATCGTCGAATATTTTTAAGCTATTGATACATGCATCTCTCACGAAATGTAATTTTAACCTTGCGTTTCAAGATTCAATGTCTTATGCTTTGCAGCTAAGAAAATCATTGAAGATGAAATTACAAAGTTTAATGTTAAACTTTTAATATTTTTCACATGTTGCACATGATGGCACTATGTAGATTAAATTGTCGTATTTAAAAAAAATATATAATTGATTTTTATTCTATATAATTCTATACTGTCTAGAGTTTTGTCTATCATGTGCAACATGTGAAAAATATTAAAGTTTTCAAATATAAAGATTTTGAATAAGGAATGCATTACATAATTCCTGCGGCCTCTGTAGCCAAATAGTTAAACTTATTGCCTAGCATTGCGTTAGGCGCGAAAGTCCTGGTTTCGAATCTCAGGGACACAAAAATTAGTTTTGGTCAGGCAGGGCGCAGAAGTCTGATCAACAACTTGCCTGTTAAAGAAAGGATCAGTGAAATGGACACAGAAATGTGTTTGTCCCATGCTCCACAAGGGGGAAACGGGATTACACAAAAAACATTACATAATTTACCTCAATAGTAGTGCAATAATAAGTTGGTTTGTTGTCGGTAATTTTTGGATTAACATTGCTGTGTTCTTTCGCACATTCAATCAGTTCCTTGCTAGCATCTACACCAGTTACGACTGCACCTATTTTTGCTAAGCCCTGTAAAATGTAACAAAAAATCACATGTAAAATAAAATATTGTAATTTTGACTACAGCAAAACTTAAACATCTACATCTAAATTGTAATATCCATGGTTTACTTAATGATCTAATATTATAAGAATCAAATAGAAAACTAAATACCTCTGATAAGATACCACCACCACATCCCACATCCAAAATGCGTTGATTGGCTAACGGAGTTAGTGTTCTATTTTTCTCTGCCACAAGACCATCTCTGACAAATGGTACTCTACAATAAGCAGACACTATATCATGTGCACAATATCAAGAAGTTAACCATTTATTAAATTATGAATTACAATAAAATAAAAAATATTTATAAGGCTTTTTTGTAGGGTTAAAATTACCTATTAAGCTCAACAAAGATATAGAAGGATTTTTTTAAAGCGACTATTTAGTTCTTTATTTTCTTAATCTTTTATTTACCTGAGGTTATTAAACGAATGAAGAGTTCCTAAAATACCCTTTGGATCCCACCATTCTTTCATTAGTCTGCTATGTCTTTGAACATCACCTTCATCCACTGTAGAATTAGGTTTATTTGAGGTAGATACTGGATTACTCATTGTAACGCTTCTTCTTAAAGTAGTTTGTATTAAGCTGGAATCACCAATTAAAAGAAATTAATTTCATTTATTCTTAAACAGGTAGTCTTTTATGACAGTAAAAGGAAATACATTGTTTTCAGTGATTACTTATATGTAAAAGTAAATTACAATAAATATAAGTATTAATCAAAACAAGCTCTAGGGCAACTTACACATTTTTATACATTTTTGAAGGATGTCTTAATGGACATATTATGTTATTTATCGTCATTATTATAGTTCAGGCTGTAAAATATATGATTGTTATTGTTTATCCAGTCTTTAATTGTTTTTATATACAAGATTTCTATAGGATGTCTATATCAAAAACTACTAGTCGTTTTATATAAAACAATTACATAAAGTTTTACAATGATTATAATATTTACTTAATACAAAATATTGTGTTCACTGACTTGACCTTCTACAAATATTACACTTTAAAGCACAAAATTTCAGTACAGTTATCAATAAAGAAATTAATTACTTTTGTACATTTTAAATTACTAATTATTCTAGATAAACTACTCAAAAACGTTTAATTTGTATATTTAAAATGAATAGTGAATGATGGTTACTTTTTTAGCGATATAGGTACCCAGTGCTGTTTGTAACAATATATTTATTTGTAATATATTTGTGTTTTGCATTACATATCTGAATTCTATGAATAAGAATTTGTTTTTAATTTTATTATTTTTTTAATGACAAGATGTAAATATTTGCTAGTGAATTTTAATTTTTATTCTTGTCAGTTGTCAGTCAACGCTATTTTGACGTTGACATAAGTACTTTACAATACCTGTATTATAGATTATTGTATACTATTACAGAGTAATTTGAAGTTTTATATCTGTGGTAAAAACAATAATTGTGTGGTTTCTGTATTACAGATATATCTTAATCAAAAATATCTTTAAAATAGGTGAAGCCGCCAGAAATCTTTGATTGAAACAAAATATTTTTTTCTTAGATAAGACTTGTTTTAAAGGCTAGAATGTTTAAAGAATAATAAGTTGATATCATAGACTAAGACAGTGATCTTTAATTTGAAGACCTTTTTAATATTTTTCAGTTTTTAATAGACATGAGTGGCTCAGCTAAATATCTCGTTCGATTTTAAAAAATCTTTCCATTTCGACAACGTCATTAGCTGAAAGCTATGATAACATAAACGTGTAAAATTATCTTTGAAATTTGAATATGACGTTACAGTAATAATATATTTACGCGAGATTCAAGTTATTATAATTATTGCAATTCTAGTAATTTGAGTTAAATAATCCAGATTAGAAATCTCTAAGATGAGTAAAGCTACCCCGAACAAGAACGTAGCTCCTAACACCGATGGTTTCGCTAAAAGCACTTTTACCCTCACCTTTGTAGTAGAAATACTGGGTCTGGATGTGTGGCACGATTGTAACGAAGGTTGGTTAGATTTGGGATCGTGCTATCAATCTATGAAAATTCAGTATCAATTATATCCAGGTCAATCTTTTGATGTTGATGTATTAGTTTGGCCGCACGTCGTTAAGGTAATGTTTTATAAGGTAGTGTTTTATTCATTCTACATTACGATGGATTATTAATTTAGTAGTTTGTTATACTTACCTAATTATAACTACTATACATTTGATTGATTTTAAAAATGGATCGAACTTTGCTATAACGCTATTTAAGAGTCCGCACGTGGCAAGTTGCGATTATCACGGTGCCGAAGATTATAGGCATATACTTACTTATATTACGGAATAGGACGTTTTGCAGTTATGGTGTGGTATGCATTATGGCTGGGCTAGGACTTGGCAGTTTTTAGAAAGACGCTGGTTCGCCTTTTCAATACGCCATGCTTTTCCTGTTCGTGTAGTGGATTTTCGATCTTACATCGCGACCGTAACACATACTTTGGGATTTGGAACACTTGGTGCAAAGTAAAGTTTTAAAATCCTATACTAAATACAGTTTCAAATTTAATTTAACGTAATTTAAATCAAGCTAATCTTAAATTATGTTAAAACTAATATTAATATTAATTAATGATATTACGGTGGTATTTGTCGTAAACAAGTTTTTATGTCTTTAGAGTCGAAGACGTATAATAAATAACTCCAATAAAAAATATTTTAGAGTTTGTATTTATTCAAAAATCTACGAGTGTTAAATTGTAGTGCCAAAAATGATAAAAATGTGGAAGTGTATCTACCGCCCTTGAGATTTGGGGAAAGGAGATACTTTGCTGGTGTAATTGAATCTGAACACAGCGTGGACGCTTTCTTACAAGAAATGATTTGGCAGGGAGTCAGAGAATTTATACCATCCTCCTATTTGGATGGCGTGTTTGATGTCCCTCAAGTTGTCAGAGGTAATACTAGATAAATGATGTACAATTTTTATTATAGAGGAGGACAAACATGCTTTGAGTTCACTTGGTATGATTCACTGTTGACTTATTTTGGCTTTGATATTCGATTTAACTGGAACGGAATTAATATATATAACACCGCCGTTATATATAATTTCGATATTCATACCATCTATTTAATATCCAGATTTTCAGATGAACGTGCTACAGATAATTTATAAATTGATTAATAGCATTTTGGAACGCACGACCCACTGATTATTATTAGCCATGCAATTGTTACTATTACACAACGTCAAAGTTTCGTTTGTCGTTATATAAGTATATATATATAAAAAAACCGCTCCAAAAACCCGTTTAATCCATCCTATGTCTTAACAAACATATCAAAGAAAAAAATTTGATGAGCTCTTAAACAACAAACCAGTAATTTGAATATGTGTTTGAAATCCCGTTTCCCCATCGTGAGGGCATGGGCCGAACACATTTCTGTGTCCGTTTCACTGATCAGTTCTTTAACAGGCAAGTAGTTGATCAGACTTCTGTGCCCTGCCTGACGGAAACATTTTTTTGTTTCCCTGGGATTTGATCCTATTACCTCGCGTGCTCAACGCAGTGCGAGGCAATATCATTTGGCTAAACTGGCGGTCAGGCGGCAGTAATTCAAATAAGTGAAACATTCTACACAATGCAAGATTTGCTTAACGCAAAAAACTAATAATTAATCAATAACATATCAAAAATTATATAAAAGAAGTTGAATTATATCCAAACAGTTGCGTAGTTCACTTCTTTAATTTAAACATAATTACTTAATGTAAAATATAACTTACATAGTCTGGCGTTGCTGCCCAAAAGAGCCACCTTTCTTCACCTCTCAGCCACGACGACTGTTTAACATTTGTTTTGGACGTCCACTATAAGGATATTATAAATAAGTAACGGTAATTAATTATTATTACTAAGCAGAGATTACGACTGACAACTTGATTACTTTTTCTGGAATTGGGATTAAATACAAGTTTGATAAAAGAATTAAATAAGACACAAGAAAAAACTTTTATAAAGTATTAAAATGCGAAATATATTAGTTGAACTGATTCTTAAGTTGATTTGACTACAACTAGAATTGAACTCTTTGCAGCAGTTTTAGTTGACTAATTAAATTCGCGTTTGAAATCTTAAAAAAGGTATAATTTAAATGTGTAATGCTCGCGTAAACTAGTGAATATACTTTTAAAAAACATGTAAAAACTATTGACTATTATAGTTTATTAATTTTCTTTTTATGATTTACCATAAAGCGACATTTTGAGCTAATGTTTAGGCTGTATAAATTTAGATCTTATTTGTACCTATTACCATACTGTGTCGATCGTACGGATGGCTAGGAGTAATTTAGCTAAGCGTTTTTTGCTTGATTCATTAATACAATAAAGAATATACCTAATATACTAATAGGTACGTAGTTATTTTAAGTTAATGTAACTTTATGTCGCAGCAGAAGACCTAAACAAAACTAATATTATAAAGAAAATATTGTGATGGGTAAAGCGATCTATGCTGATTTGAAAAATTTGAAATTTATTTTTCATAAAAGTTTCCGGATCCTTACTCAAGCATAGTCCTAGGTGTTAAAGAATTCATCAAAATATTCTTTTGTTGCAAACGCTGCTATGCAAAGAACCAAAAAATATTATATTACAATTTATATTACCGTTAATGTCCTTACTCAAATACATAAAAAAATACACATTACAAATTGTACTGGTAAAATCCTTATTCAGATAAATAACTTCTTTACAGCTAAATATGTGGTTGAAAATGAATAAGTTATAACTTTAAACTTTTCTTAAGGATTTATAAGACATGCAATTAAAAAACTATGTATATATTAGTTAAAGGTATACAATAACTAGCTGTTTCAGCGACTTTGTCCGCGTAGAATAGTTATTTTGGGCACCCAAATTTGTTTTTTCAAACCTTCTCATCTTAAAAATTATAGCCGTTAACCTATCCACGATGTGTCACAGACATTTTTTAGATAATTAAAAGAGGAACTGAAGAACAAGAATTAATATGTTTTGTGGGTATCCTAAACAGCCTTCTTTTCACAGCCTTTTTTTATAATTGCCCCAGTTTTTTCCACATATCCCGCTGTTTCTTTGCTCCTATTAGCCAAACCGCAATGTTTTATAGCCTTCCTCAATAATTGCTCTAACCAACGCAAAAATAATTTTTCAATTCGAACCAGTAGTTCCAGAGATTAAGGCGTTCAAATAAACAAGCAAACTCTTCAGCTTGATATATCAGTATAGATTATATGAATACGCAATAATGATTCCAAAGCACTTTTCATCTGCCCAAACGTATTTGTCCAGCATATTCCCTCTGTCATGAGGTCTCGTTCCAACAGTGAAATTGTCGAAGAGATGACGTCGTTCTCTTATGCCTATCATTAGCAATATTTTTTCTGTACGACGCATTAATTATATTTAGTGATTACATGGTATGTTGCTTACGTATATTGGCATTTTCATTAGCACGGATTTACGAAAAGTATTGTTGACAACTCTACTCGGGCAATACAACTGTTTTTCTCATAGATCTGTTCGTGTTTTTCTATACAAAGACATACATGACATCAAGACATGTAGGTTACTACTTTTCCAAACCACTATTTCTTGAGAGGTTGTATGTCTTAGTTCTTCCTCTTTTTTTAACTGTAGTTATTAAGCAAATACATATTTAAGTTATTTGTGTCTTGTGAAATAAATGAGTTTGACTTTTTAGTTTAAGTTGTGGTTGATAAATATTGTCTATAGTTTACGCGAGTAGTACACATTTAAATAAAACACTTTAACGGTTTAAAACGCGATATATTAGTTAAACTTATTTGAAAATGATTTTTAACTTCGGCCCGACGTTTCGGATGCTTTGCAGCAGCCGTGGTCACGGCTAACGGCTAAGTTTAACTAATATATCGCGTTTTTAACCGTTAAAGTGTTTTATTTAAATTGTGGTTGGTAGTTTAATTACTTTTATTGAGATACAAACATATACTAACGTGTTTGTAATGAATACATATTATGGTATTAAACCGGCAATTGGCCATTTTGTTTACGTTACAACGCATAATATTTTTATCGTCTTTTTTGTAAGTATTTTTTTGGCGGTGGACGTAAAAATTAGCATTTCGTTTTTTAACAGGTCTTCGGTGACCTTGAATGGTCGAAAACACATTGATTTTTAGCTGCCTTGCCCTGACCACCCGGGTACGCTCTAGTCAGTTGTCCCAAAAAAAAAATGTTCCGCCCCTCCCTCCATCGCGATAACACATTTCGTCCGTTTCACTAAAGTTTTTGTATTAATTATTTTTTGTAAAACGATCCTCAGCTATAAATGCATATTTTTTCTAATATGCGAATAAATTTTAATTCTTTTAGACGTCAGACATCAAGACGCGGTGATTTCCGCCGTGCAAGAGACCATTTTAAATAGGATGTGTCCAGTGTCGGAGGAAGAAGTTATAGAACCGGAGGAAGTTTCCAAACCCAGAGACAGGCGTGAATCGAAATTTCCGAAAGACAAAGAAAAAGAGAAAAAGAAAGTCGTAGACGCGCCAAAGGCGAAATATGAAATCAAACTTGCCGGTGATTCAATTCTCGCTGGTAAACTATAAATAAAATAATATATAATATCAATGTTGATATTGTCTGTGGTTTACGTGAGAATACACATATCAGTATAGCACTTTTAACGGTTCAAAACGCAAAATTTTAAACAAATTCATAATGTATGTATCGCGTTTTTGACCGTTAAAAGTGTTCAATTTTAAATGTCCATATGTAATTATATTATCTATAATACTCTTGAAATATATAATAATATTTAATACCAAGAATACTTAATTTATATTATTATTTTTAATTGAGAATATTCAACGTTAGATTTTTATTACTAATATATTTTTCCTTGTTGTTTGAATTTTATCTTGTGCGCAGTTGTTAAAAGACTACAATATTGTATAGTATCTATTATAAAAAAATTGTAAGGCCATAGTCCTATTGTCAGTATTTTAAAATATAGTAACAATAACAGAACAATACAATACTGTATAATTGTTTAGTTCACACTTACAACTAAAGACTGTGTCCATTGGAACTTTTCTTATAGTCTCCATAGTTAGCAACTATCGAAAGATACTTAAATCGTTAAATTCACATCACCTTATCCTTACTAATATAATAAATGCGAAAGTAACTCTGTCTGTTTGTTACTCTTTTACGCCAAAACTACTGAACGGATTTGAATGAAATTTGGTACACTTTTTATTGCGAAAAGGGGGTTGTAAGGGGTTAAAGGGAGGGGGGGGGGGTTGTTGTATGGAAATTCGTGGTTTTTGAAGCTAGAACAATGAAACTTTCCTCTTTGGCTTTTTAGGAATAGGAGTGGGAGTGGGTCTTCTACAGACCGCGAGTCATACATTAAAATTTCTTTATAGCTAGTCCTATTCTATACTAGATTTAAAGCTAGTCTAGGCGTTCACCCATTATGTGTTAGTAATAAGTATTGTCTGTTGTACATTTAAATAAAACATTTTTAACGGTTTAAAAAAAATATATATTAGTAGAACTTTATTTATTCTATGACTGGTCGTGTTAGATGCTTTGCAGTATCTGATAAATATGTACATGGATCAAAAATAAATAATGTTAGATAAAAGAGCGTTTTTATCCATAGTTTGCTTATACATGCGGTAATCTTTATATATTTCTTGACAGTACACTCAAATTTGTTTTCATTGGTTGTAGCTACTGGAAGAATCACTCAGTTTGAAACAGTAGGAGATCGTCCGATTGACTTGGGCGAAATTATTGTTATGATTACATCCAACAATCTTCCTGCTCAAGATGACCATCCTATTATCTTCGTCAATGTAGAGAACTTATGCGATATACCTACAGCTGAACTTAAAAGATTAAGGCAATAACATATAGTTTATTATTTATAGTAGTAATTACGCGTTTTTATTTTTTATGAGAGAGTAGAACATACAGGCATGGTCTTCACTAGATAGAAAGTGACAAACCTCAGCCATATAATATTTAAGCAAGGTGTCGGAACCTATTTTGGTTTTAAAATATTCGGAAATCTACAAAAAAATACTTAAGTTTAACTAAGTTAAAAAAATACAAGTTTGTAAAATGTTTGAAAACTTATTGTTTTTTACATGTTATTGCACACGAAGGCACTATATAATTTAAAAATCGAATATAAATTGAAGAAAATTTAGATTTTTAAAGTTTGTACAAATTTTATCGGTATTGTTTGTAATATTTAAAGCTTATATGAATATTAAATGGTAAAAGAAAACCAGAGTGAAAAATATGTATATTTTATTGTTGAAAAGGGACTCAATACCACACCATACCGTTACAACTACCCATGATTATCAAAAACCTAAAAGTCTTATGTTAAGATTAAAATAATTCAAGTGTAAAAATGTACGTTATTTATCAATTTTGTCTTTTCAATTATGATTTCAGAATAACACAGCTCTATACACGATGGAGCATTTACAACGAACGACACGAATCAGAAAGACAACAACTTAAAAGTAAATCGCAAATCAACTTTAACGATCATCACACAATTATATTAGAGGATGCAACAGCGTCTCGAATAACAGCGCATTTTTTGGACAACCCGTTTATAATTGAGGTAAATTATAAAACATTAATCATTTTAACAAATCCTATATTCCTATTAAAAAAATGCCCGCGACACTATCTTTAACGATTAACTTGCAAGAACGACGGCACACGACCACGACGTCGGTCGTACAGACGGGGTAACAGCATATATTTATAAAGATGAAGTGGAGGTTTGCAAAAAAAGGCATCTACCTAAAATAACTGTTCTCCGCGGACGTAGTCACTGGCATAGCTAGTTTGATAACGTTTTCATTTGATAACAGTGAAGCCAAAAGGTATGGTAATGATTTGTAATTGCATGTTCTAACGTAGCGTGCATTATAACCGTCTGCTTTTAATGATCATGGTATCGAACTATGTGTAATGATGACGAGAGTTCCAGGCAAAATAAATTAAGTTTAACCGAAGTCGTTGGTATATGTCAGCTATGGCTAATAATCAACCGGTAGTGGATTCGATCCTCACTGGGTTTTCTTTTTCTAACTTCGAAAATGCCTTCTGGGTCACGAAACATCGTCCACAGATGATAGCCGTGAAGAAATAGGGCTCCTTTATTATAAAATAAGATACACCTAAAAATCTCAGCATGAAATAAATTACATTGATATATATATATTCAACCTGTGTTTGAAGAAAAGGTTTTGGCGAGTACAATATCTATCATTAATTAATAAAATGGGGAACACACACGAGCACAGCGTATCCTGTCGTTGCTGAAAGACGTAGCTGATATTTTTAATTTCTATTCTTTCAGGTTCGAGCAGTGCGTCTGCCCTTAAACGCTGACGATGCAAGGTTTTACGATAGTAGCGAAAGACCCAAAGAAACAAACGATTCACATGATTTCGTTATAGCTGTTGCAAAGATTGATGCGTCCGCGTTATCTAAAGGAATGAATGCATTATCAAGGGGAGAGTTTTCACTATACCCCGCGGAACCGAACTCTAAAACCACCTCAGACCGGGAAGATATCTGTACAAATGACCTGAATAGAATCGGGAAATCTATGAAGTCCGATATCGTAATTCAACCGTCCATCATTTTAGGCGCGCAAATGACATTAGAAGTTTCAATAGGCTACGTTGGCTGCAAGCCAGAGGAATTAATACCGAGTTTTTCAAGATTATACTGTTTTGTCGACGATTCGAATACAGTCATGGCTATTGTGCGAAAAGTAACTGAGATTAATGACGAAGTATTGGCGGATTCGGAGAGAGATAATTTATTGACTGGGTTTGTGCTGGACATAGGGGATAGGGCTGTAATATACATAGAAGGTCGACGGCATGGGCCCATCCTGCAGATCTGGAACGCGGCGGAACATTTCTTTTTGAATATGAAAACGTCGTTTTCGTCGTCATCTAACTACGCAACGCGTTTATATCCGGGTTAATATATTTGACACATTTAATTTCATTACCACCAATGGTAAACCAAATATCTAGTACATCACAGGCCGCTAGAGGCAGAGTAGTCTAACTACAATTTTTATCTTTGACTTATTTATATTTCATAGTCTAAAAATGGTAATCTACAGGAGGATAGTGACCGAAAATTGTTATCATACTTTTTTTTATGGAAATAAAAAAAAGCGAAAATGAATTCTCCTCTTAATTGAAAGTCACGTTTTTTGTTATTAGGCCACTCAGCTTTTAGCAGCCTCATATATAACTAACTATACAACTCATTGTATCTATTTTTTTTAATAATTTGCTTTATATTCATATACACTACAAATACTAAAATCAAAAGTATAAATGCAAAAATAGCAATATAATGTTATAAACATGACTATCTAGTACATTATTAAGTCTATAATATTAATCATAAAACAATATAAAATAATAATAATAATGATATAACTCTTAATTTTTGTACTCTAACACAATCTCTAACAGTTGTTACACACTATTTAAATTGTATATTTCTCCATTCGGTTATCTCTACGTAATCTAGGATTGGTTTTATATTTGTTAAAAATAGTACCACGATTGAGACTCGATCCCACGACTACAGCGTTTGATGCTGTTTTTCTTAGCAACCACAATCATCTTGTATTTTATTTCGTATTAAGCTATCATGTGCAAAGATATTTGAAAATAATGTTTCAAAGATTTATTTATATTAGCGTAACGGGTCTTTTTCCACACTTCCCTTCATTTGCAGAAATGGTGACAGCGCCGATGCCTTTCACTGTATTAAAAATGCATGTACCGTTGGCGATATTATTGGCGTGTCCTCAAGTGTACGTGCGTCCAACTTTACCATTGCCTGCTCGATCGGTATGTCTTATTAACGAAACAGACCCTCTCTAATATATTTAGCTGGTACACACCGCTCCCACATTATTTATTTGTTTTATTTATCCATTTGTTGACCAACATAGTTTTATAGCAAAAAAGGCGTCTTCTAAAACTAGTTTCACTTTACACGGCCTTGTTTCGATTTTTAACAATTTTATATTGAACAGTATATAACGCGTTAAGACTTCTTTATGAACATGGTATATTGTGTAAGTATGCATAAGATATCCGCATAAGTATTCACACTCCGATGTTAACGATATTTGAGTTAGCTTAAGACATCTTTTTGTGTGCCTTTGCCAAAACACTATAACACAAACATTGATATTTTTTTGTCACGGAAATCAATACGAAACCCAAAAGAGTTGCGAAGTATCGGGCACTAGCATTTACAGAGATGCAACAATTATTGTAATTATTTTTTTTTTCAGGCAGTGCTGAAATTTGGACGTTTACTAGCCAACGAATTAAGGACTACTCCCAGTCGTAACGAAATGCCTTGTTACAAAATGTTACAAAGTTTTAGACTGGAATTATGTTCGCCTCCGCGACCTGGGTATACCCTAAGAGATATAAATTTTGGTAATATACTTACTATACACTATCCGTCTACGTGTAAGCCAAAATGAAAAAAGATGCCCAAATTTCTTATAACATATGAGTATCTTGACCTCTTTAAAAAACAGTTTACTCCCAGTAGCGTAGCCAGGATGACAAGGGCCCCGGTGTAAGAAATCCTAGGGCCTAAGAAAGAATCAGGTTCTCATTCCCTCTTTCAGCCTAGCTTGAGTTCAATGAACCTCTAAAATTATAAATAGCAACAAAACCAGTTTATTCAAATACGTTAAGAGATTCCCTTTGTTTTACGTTTAGGTATATCTTTTTAAAGATGAGGATAGAGGACCCCAAGTTCCGGGGCCCTGGTGCACTGCACCACCTGGCCCTACGACAGATACGCCACTATTTACTCTTTCAAGATTTGAAAGACATACTTTGTCGTAAACATTTTTTTAACACTTTTTTAACAAATTGAAACAGTAATACAGTGCTTTCAGTGTAATTTTTTTTTAATCGAACCGATTGTGATTTCGTCCGACTCAAAATGCTAATAAATAGACAGAGTCTTGTAATACGTAATTAGAAGTCAAGAGTAGGTTTAATATTGTAAGACTAGACTAGACTTTAATAGTTGATTTTTTCAACCGGTTTTCTAGTGAAGGACATAGTGAACTGCCAAATACGATCAAAATAAACGACCGCACGATATTACTACGAGTTTCATAAAATATTCTACATTAAATAATATAATCAAACCTGTTTGTTAAATGACTAGTTGTTATAATAATATTTAAAGATGAAGACGTTAAACAGGCATACCTCTTCGTAGTTAAAGGATATTTTTTCTTTTTTATGGCTGGAGAAGTTAGATATCAGCATCAGAATCATGGAATTCACATGATGGAAGGTGAAATACTCAAGGCATAAATCTAATGAAGGAAAATATTAAATAATTAATACCGGTTTAACAGTGCTCAGAAGTTAACATTTCAAATTTTATAAACATTTATTATTTATAAAAATATTTCATGTGCGTATTCATACAAGACACGGTTCGGAGTTAAATTATTAGTTGAGATAAATATGATTGAAATCATTGAAGAGTGTGATATGTTAAGAAATGCTAATTCTATTTTTAGTACCCAACGTCTCCCAGACGCGAAATGAAATGGTGAGAAAGATCAGCAAAAGCACGCACAAAATAAATGATTGAACCAGGACACGACTTTATGAAATGACGAAATTTTGGAAGTTATCTTGTTTGTGTTATCGTGATCAACGAATAAAAGGTGCTGTGTGATATCGAAGAAGACATTCACATGTACTAGATGTCTACAGAACAATTTAACGTATCTAATAGTTTTTTAATTAGATATGTATATTTTTATTCGTAGTTGAAACATTAATCAGCTAACTTTCATGATGTAATTTGTTATTAAAAATTCAATTGATAAAACTGGATGGGTTTTGAAAATAAAGTTTAAACAGTCCACTTAGATTAGCAATAATAATACTAAACTAAACTATAGTATATAGCGGTTTTTATTTTATTCAATTTTTATAAATTTTAACGGTTGAACATGCGATATGTGGTTTTTTGGCCTACCGACAAACGCGAAGACACCGTTAGTCAATTCTGCAATGACCCGGCTAGTTTGGCTAAATAAAAACTACGACGGAACAGATGGCGCTAGTGTAGCAATTTTTATTATGACATTAGAGACATCCTCCATCCCGTGATCACGGCAGCGGCAAATTTTTAAATAAGATTTAATATATTTCTCGTTTTAAACCGTTGAAGTGTTTTATTCAAATGTATACTACTTGAGTAAACTACAGACAGTTTTTTAATTTTAATATCACAATTCTCTGAACCATTGGAATAACATATTGAAAAACAATTTCAAGTATTAATTAAATTCCCAACTGATGTAGAGGCTTTGACGTCCACCATTTCACTCTTGTCAATCTATATATACTCTTGTATGTGTTACAAAAGTTATCGAGGTTTAATTAATTCAGTTAAGGAAAACTTCGTCTACCTCTACAACATAATGTACCTGTGTGTTGCTAAGTGCTCCAAGTACGTGAATAATTGTACTGAAATTTCTGCATAAGTAACCTACTTATACGAATTTGCTACAAAAGTTCGAAGAAAGTTATTTGAATTAATGCTTTCGAGTTTATACTCTAATTACATATAAGGTTTCGTTTGTTTATTTGTTTACGTAAATTTAATTTCATAATGTATTCTTAATCCATTATAGATAGTATGTGTTGGTTTAGTGTTCAGTGGTTCCCAAAATTTTTTTTACCGAACGCCCCATTTAAAGTAGTGAGCACTACTTAAAATGGTTTCAAACAAACAAACAAACTCGTCAGCTTTATATATTACTATAGATACTACTCCAAAACTACTTGCAAATAAATTTCACATATCAAACAGTAGTTACTTGAACACTTCAACAGAGAAAGGACGACGAGGAAACGCTATCGCCCACATTGGGAAACACTTGTTTATGTGTGACTGTCGACATAGGTTGAGAGTTCGAGTTTCACACCAAGGAAGTTATCTACCCAATGACACATTGATGGAATCCTAGTGAGAAAACCATAACGACTAGGTTAGGAAAATAACCGTTATGGCAGCTGACGTGCATTCCAAGTCTCAACAATGAAAACTTTTAAATAATGTTCATTCGATACTGCCTGTAGTTTACGCGAGTAGTACACATTTAAATAAAACACTTTAACGGTTTAAAACGCGATATATATTAGCTAAACTTGTTTGAACGGCTCGACGTTGCGGCTGCAAAGCCGTCACGGGAAGACGGAGAGTCTATTAACTAATATTATCGCGTTTTAAACCGTTAAAATGTTTTATTTAAATTCGTACCAGTATTTCTGGGAGCACGTTCAAACAAACAAACTCTTCAGCTTTATATTAGTATAGAGTTTAAAGTCTTGGTATTAAATAATTACCACCTGTTTGAACCTAACTCACCCGATGCTTAGACCGCACACACGATCTCATCTGATTAATGTTTGCTCAGACAGTCCAGTTCCGTCTGCGGACAAACGGCCATTGTCATTTATTGCCCAGTTAGAAGCTTGTCTCGGCTTCTAAACCACCCATAGTTTAAGCGATAGTGTTATTAGCAAATTCTAAGCTAGAGCGCAATTAACAAATGACTGAGGGACGACGTCGATCCGCTTCTCATCTAATTTATTTACATAGACTGCAAGGGCTGGTAATTTAGGAGTGGCTATGGCTAGACGACGACGTGTCCAAGACTGCGTAAATACAGAAGTGCACTTATTCAATTGCGGAGCATCTGAAACATCGTACCGTTATAAATTATAAATAACTAATTTTAATAATCAGCGGGTCATGGATTCGATTCCCACGTGGTCCAACAGTTTTCTAATCAATTTATAATTGAGCATGTTGGACTTGGTCTGGAAATCTTGATATTAAAAGAGTGATAGGAATAACGAAATTCTGTCCGGGTCACATATGAAAAAGCCGTCAATTTTAACGTTTCCGTTTTAGTCTGTAGATTTTCAAAGCATAAATAGGTAGACAACACAACTTGTTTTGATGTTATATGGCTGGGGTATTTCAACTACCTTGAAGTGCCTCATGTTTGTCTATCTTCCGCTTTCATAAAAAATATATATTACGTTTTAAACCGTTTAATTTTAACAGAAATATTTATTAAATAATTGTAGTGTTGTACAATAATTAAATCGATAAAAAAATGATACATTGGATACAAGTTAAGGGTATTAAAATGTTTTAAAATGTATTATAAAATTGTGATTTAAATAGTCCATATCACCACCTTTTTTTTAAATGCACCCTTATGGAGAATTTGAAATTTGAAAGCAGTATACATAATGTTTTTTTCAGTATTTCTTGTTCTAAAAGATTTTAAGCACTTCGATAAGTATCCACCTCGGAAGTAAAGGTAACACATTCTTTGTTCATAAAACTTCATTTAAGTACTAGTTTTTACCGGAAGTCTACGCGATGTAGTCACTAATTGCTTCAAAGGAACTAGCCGTAAAAAGATTTCCAATTCTTCAGTAAAGAACCTTTTCTATGATAACGGCGTTAATACGAATAGAGTGATTTTAAAAAATCAGCAGATTTTATAACTGAGACTGATTGAGCTTAGGTTAGTAAAATTATCGCTCTATTTGATTCCAGCCGGGCTAGTAGGCGCGCTACGACATTTTATAAGGACACAAATAATATAATAATCGTACATAGGACTGCTGTCTACATTTTGAGTTAGGGTTTATAGACACAACTATTATATTGAAAAAAAGTCTGTATGTTAGCATCTTTATTAATATATAAAGAAGAGTTAGTTTGTACGAACTCTCAAAAACTACTGGTGGGAATTGAAAATTTATTTGTGTTGGTTAGAACATTTATCGATTTATTATATATATATAAAACATTGAGCTGAGACTAGGAAAGAGGAAAAGCGGGAAATGCGGGGAAAACGGGGAAAATTATTCATCTTTGCGAGCATCCGTTGCGTACACTGCGAAAACGCTTCAAGATACGCAAAAAATTGTATAAATAAATGTCCATGACCACTTTATGTCTATCTTTTAACATTAACGTAAGGCAAGACTATTTTATTGCTCAAAATAACTATCCTACGGGGACGAAGTCGGTGACATAGCTAGTATATCGAGACGATAAAATGACAAATTATATTGAAGCACGCTTATTAGGCCGGCAGGTCAGGCAAACTCTGTGTAGAAATTAAAATGTTACACTTGAATGAGAATGTTCGCAGAAATATTTAACTTAAATTTCAAGTGAAGTTCAACATTTTTTTAAGTTAAAATTAACACATATAATACCAATAATACCAAATAGTTTATTGAATATACGAATCTTACTCGAATGCTGAAAAAAAACGTGAATTGTAATTGAATTGCATAATAATTTAAAAAGATTGCATGAAAATAATTTTGTTTGAACGAGTACACCGAGATTCACTGCCATTCATGTAAAGTATAATAAACTTGTAATTGATGTAATTTGTTGTTTATCTATGGAAATTCCACATACCTATATCTGGGCAAACTAAAAACATTTTTATGCCTTCTTGTTACCCGGTATTTTGTTCTAGGAACTTAAACCATTTTAATTAGATTTAAATATATTCGAATTCTCGATGAACACTAACACTTAATTCTAGGAAGGTTACCGCATGAAGACGTTTTCAGGGATCAAAGACAATTTGCCAATTAAATTCCTTCAACACTACTTTACAAAGACATAAGTCAGTACTATAAACCGATATTGTATTTTCCAATTCTTGTGACTTATCGAACATATTTCGTTTAAATGTGATCTCGTGTTATTTAATTTAAATATTTAAGATTCTGTTTTTTTGTATAGGACGTACGTAACCAATTGAACCACGGAGATAGAATAGTCTGAATAAATATTATTAAATAAGTATAAAAGCTAGAAAATAAAATCAATGACACAGGAGGGAGTCGAACCTATTATCAACAGCGTTCTGTGCTTTAGCAACTGCGCTAGTAAAGAAGATAAAAGAAACTGTCAATATAGAAAACAATTGATTTTATCAGTCTTACTAAATCCTTTTTTACATGTAGAATGTAAAAATAGGATATATCTAAATACTAACACGTGTTTAACCAATATAAGCTCTCAAATAGGTTTCCCAGTTCTGGTAAGCCGAGTGAATTGTTCCTAACATTTTACGGTTGTCGCTTTAATTGGACCTCCGTGCGAGGTTTGTTTTGTCCTTTGTTTCATTTACTGTGCCTAAAACCAGAGTGTAACACTTTTTGTTATAGCCCAAAAGGGACCATGGTTAGTACTCGGATGTTCCTCGTTTTTGGTCTCTAACAAGGAATTGCTTAATTGAAAATTGTTAAGTTTTAATTATTATTGTCTAACATTTTTATACATAAATTGGGAAAGGCTTTCACGGCCGTCGTTCAGCATATCATTGTTTTTCTGGCTGTTCCGCCATCGTAAGCGAGAAGAATTAATACTTCGAGCAATCGAGGAGTTAACACCATCTCCTGATGATGCCGTCTGCTCGTGATGGCGAAACGTCGTGAACCTCTTCTCGCTCACGTCAACCGAACAGCCCGAAAAACAATGATATGATGTTTATACATTTTTAGGAAATATATTTTAATCTATAA